GCTCCGTCACAGTGTTTGTGGTAGTTGGCGGGCAAGGCCTGTCAAGGGCATATTTGAATTTTGATTCGAAACCAGTTGAACCGCTTTGTTTTCAACCTACTTAAGTTTCGTCTTGGAAGACAAAGACAAGAGATATAAATTTCGATCAACGCAAAATCACGATGAAACCCATCAAGTGTTAAGCAACGGCAGGTGCTTTAAGGCGCGGCAAAACTGCTTCTGAGGATCTGACACGTTAGGAACTATCGTTCAGAAGCAACCGGGGGCTAGTACAATAGGTCTACAAAGTGGAAGCAAGAAGAAAAGGAAGCCACAATCCGATTAATTTTAAATCCTTCTCAATCTAGCTTTCAATTGTCATATTCCCTTTCATTCTTCACCAGACTCTTCCGTTACCACAATCTCCGGGGAAACACCCGAAGCGAACTCGCAGAGTGGGACTTCAACATTAAAAGACAAGACTCAGCAGGATTTCAGGTCAAGAGCGTGTTTGTGTGGTTAGTGACGTCCAGAGCCTTGAGGGGTTCGAGCTTGGGAAACTGTGTAGCATAGCACGCGTACCACCATTTCTGACTCGGTTGGTTCTGCTGGATCGACAGGAGTGCGACCGTGCCATGCGGGGACGCCTCCGTTCCCTTCACTTGACAGGACGGCGTAACAGACGGGTGAACCCGGTGCACTATAGTCACGGGAAACGGGAGTTCGCGAATCGGACGTCGAGTGTTGCCTTTCGACAGGGCATGCTCGAGCCGGCTGTTGTGCACAATGTGAGATCATACACTGCTTTTCGGTCACATTTCCATGCCTGTGTTCCATTTAATTTTCTGGGCAGCCACGCATTCAGCGTCAGGCTCCATGATACCTGTACGTTCAGACGAATGGACTTACAAGGACAACCCGGTCAGATTGTTCTGAGCATCAGAAAGCCATATCGAATGGAGGATTTACCCCTATTTAGCCTGTCCGAGTTCGCGCCCATCGATCCCCCAACCTTTGGGCTGCTATCCAGTCTTTTGTCATCAAAATGAGACAGACTGGAAACATTGAGTCTTCCGGTACTGGTGGGCACTTGCGATCGACGTGAGTGTTGATAAATCATAGCGGTTGCGGCACTGGGACGGCTCACAACCGTTCACCGTGCTGCTTTGAGACAGTGCCTCTTTGGGCGCAATATTCCAGGCCTTTTTGTCAACGACATCTTCATCCAGGGGGCAAGGGGTTGTGCCCTTGATGTGACCTACGACCGTCACCTACCTCTTTTGACGGCCCAACCGCATCCATAAAAGAGGGGAAGAACGAGCAACCAGCCCACCAATTTGCCAACCAGCCAACCGAAGCCACTATCCCGAGAAGATGCATATCTCATGGTGTTGAGTGTGGGTTGTGCTCCATGCCCCGGTCGCTTCCCGTCTGCCGTTGTCTCCCGTAGAGATGGGACAAGCTACCTATCCATCTCCGTTGCGGCGCCTCCCATGGTTGACCGACCATGAAAAATGAGGCTTGTCTGGAGGCTACACCGCATGACGCTGTACATGGCAATGTTTGGAGGGCCCGTCTTCCTCTGACCACCAGGCCGTATGAAGACAGTGAAGTAGTTGCGCGTCTGACGGTCCGTTTGCGCCTTTATACACCGTTTCCACCAAGTCTTGGTCAAGGGTGGGTGTATGTTTCTGATAAGAATGGGTGAGAGGATTGCTAAAGCGCCTCCGTGTCTCGGGCCACGACAGTGAAATTCCCGAGACTGTTGGTGCCACGTCTGACGTCCCGACGCAGATTCCGAATCAGAGTCAACTACCGCTCAAATTGTCCCGACTCTAATTAGCAGACAGTGGTGGTTTAGGAAATTTGAGGATATCGTGTTAAGCGTATTGTAGTGTTTGGTAGACTTCTGACTGTCATTGGACATGGATGCTGCTCCCTTGCTTGAACACATATGTTAGTCCTGAACAAATAGAACCCTGATCCTAGAGAGACATGATGGGGGTCACATAGGGACGCATTTACTGAGATTTGTCCAATTTATTAGCTAATATCAAACTATCATGATCACCTCATCGAATGAAGAGCTATAACGGTAAGATTGACCTTGCAAATGTATACCGGCCTCCTGTTGGTACCAATCTGGGTAGAAGTACCGGCTGATCGACCGCGATCTCGCGGGCCGAGATTTGATGCCTGGAATACCGCCTTACGGAACAATCAAGTCCTTGGGGCATAGGCAAGAGAGTGGTGCTCACTGTCGCACCTTGGCAGATACCTCAACCTACATGAAATGTACGAGGTATTTAGGTATGCGAGCTGTACTGTCGTCCATCTCTGATGCAGCAGATCTTCAATGGCCCCTCGGTATCTGAAGCGCGAAGATCTGTCGTCACGATACCTCTCACATACTGTCAGCTATACATATGTAGGTAGGTAGGCTAAGTATCTGGTTGCTTCGAAAGTAACACACGCTTGGTACATCGAGAAATGCTGACTGCCCCTGGGGCCGAGCTGGGGTGGGACTTTGGTATGTAACTGGAATGAGGAGAACCTGATTTCTTGGCAAAAGTGACTAAGCGAGGAGCTGCGGCCATATCTGCAACCGCCTGCTAACCGCAAATCTTTACGATTCGATCAGTCATGTCCATGATAAACGACACCAGGTTGTTGGCGTTCCGGTAGGCTGATGAAGACAGGACGGGAGTGAGTGGAGGAAGAACCTATCGTTATGCCGTTATTGCTTCCAGCTTGCTAAGGATGGCACCGATGGCTGGACATAGCGGGCGGGTTTTCCATAAAAGACCCACCCATGGGTCCAGTCTGGTGGTGCAGTAGCCAATTTTATCAAGGTGCAATCAGGGGGTACCGTTAGATATACCTATCCGACCTCTCCCAATAGCTGAAGTCATAACAAACTATGTATTGCTGATGATGTTGGGGAGTGAAGCCGTATGGTCATCGTTATGAATTCTGGAGATCCCTAATTAAAACATATCTGTAACTGGGCAAAGGCACATTCGAGCCTCCCCTCACGTATTAACTTCTGACAGCCTAAGCAGCTTCTTGGATGGCATGCACGGCTACTATCATATTTGGTTGTATCGGTCGGGAATCTCTGATTATCACGATGCTCCTAGGACGACAAGCAAATATTGCCTGGTTCCCGTGTCGTTGTCCGATGTGACTCGGATGACGCGTGATGGACATCGGACCGCCTGGGCGTCCCCGTTCGAAACGGGCAGTCCCGGCGCGCAGCATCCGCCCCGCCTTCACACATCGGTCAAGTTGACCGCTAACAGAGCGAGCATCAACCCTTTCCCATAGTCTGGTGTCATATGTCAGAAACTTTCAGTCCCCTCCCGTCTTTGTCTTCCCTTCCACTCTTCGAGAACACTCCGGGTGGCCTTTCAAAGGGCGCCCTAATCTTGCCGCTCGCTTCCGCCAATTAAAGTCTCGTTACCTCTCGGGACGTCCTTTCAGCGCGTACCCATTTTGCTCTTTTGATGGGATCCTCAAAGGGGCTTCTTTGTTTCCGGTATTACATATAAACAGTGCTCAAGTACGTAGCACCTGAAGACAGGACAGGTGTCTGAATGCCGGTGTAGACTAGTAAACGTGGTGTTCTTTCCGATAAAGATACAGTGTCTTCAGTATCCTACCTACACAGTGCACATTGGACTGGTGAGCAACAGTCACACAAGCGGGCCAAGATTGGCTGCCCGTTTTGACGGGAGGTCTTGCTTCGAAGCGTCGTCCCAGCAGCACTGCAGCGCGCAGTTCCTTCCAAGGTCAGTGCATGTGGGAACGCTAGGCCGGGGCGGTACGTACCGCCCCGCTCCTCGCATGCTGACAGAACCTTGGAGATACTGCATGGATACGGAATCTTACATACAGTTAGTTATGACTGCGCACACCGTATCTGCTGCCGTATCTACCCTGCAGTGCTACCTACTGTACCTTCACTTCCCTGGCCACCATAGGGTAACGTCCAGCTAAACGGTCCGGCTTACCTGCCCCATCGCATGCAACGCAGGTAGCCTGCACGCTAAGAGCTCAGAAAAGGCACTAGCGGGCACTAAGCACCCAGTCCACCGACGGTCGGGTTGGAATGGAAGCTGCCGTGGCACTGGTCTTGGTCTGAGCCTGTGACCCAACACAGCGGGCAACCATGCCAATCCGTCAAAAGCCGGGCGAGTCCTTTTGAAATAATAATCAGCTCGCTTCTTCCATCATCCCTCCGCAATCTAACCTCTCAAATTTTCCCTCCTCAACCCGCGCGCAACTTCCACTTAGCAGAAACCTAACCACCCAGACACCGGTCACCGGCCACGTTTCGCTGCCACCACTTTTTTTTTCCTTGCGTCGTATTTTTTTTCTTCTCTCTCGCTACCATCTGTCTCGCCACGAACCATCGGCCAGTGCAGAATAGCCATTCTGACCAGCCCTTAATTCGACGTGTGATACTGGGACCTTGGCGCATCGTCATCGGTCACGGTCACGGCCCCGGCCCGTCCCTACTACACCTGCGTTTTACGCCTGCGCTGGGGCGAGAGGAAAACGAGAGTCGGACTAAAAAAGACTCGATTGGAAGACAGAACGATCATCTCGTCACCATCAATAGTCGCACCTACCAAGAGTCATCGCGCCTGGACACGCAAAGTCAGTTCACCTTCCAAGGTATTTTTTTCTCTGCCAGACGAAAACACTTCAACACCCTCCGCCACACAAGCGCGACGGTCGATGTGCTGTTCTTGACGGCTTGACTCAGCTTTGTTTGCTATTCTTCACTACACGCCACCTGGGTTACGGGGTTGCAGGTCCATCACCCAACTTGCTTCTACCTTCGCAAACTTCGTCGCACACCACGCTCTTCAACGTGCCTAGCACGATACGCATCCCTCGCAGCTACTAATACAGTCGTTAGTAGCCATAACCACGCTCTGTTTCGACACGAAAGCTCCTCCGTGCATTATCGAACAAGCGGACTTTGAGTCGAAAAGCCAGCACTGATCCGGCTTATGATGGCGGGTAGAGGTTACCCTTCGAGAGACGGACCCGAGCAGTCCAACTACCCTTCGCCTCCGGGTGACGACGAAGAGAGGCGATCGCAGTATCCCTTACCACCCTTGACGACCACCAACATGGCCATGCATCCATCGGCTCCGGCTCCGGCCCCGGGCCCGGCTCCGACCAACGGCTATCCCCACGACCAGCGCTACCCAGATCAAAGATTCGCGGCAGGACAAAGGTACCCCCAAGATCCAAGAAGCGATCCCAGGGGTGATTCCAGGGCCGCCTGGACGGATCCACGAGCCCAACCGAATAACGGGTATGGCTCGCCAAATCCGCCGCCTTCAGGTAGCTATCCTCCGATGTCTGCGACTCATCCCCCCGGATACGCCCCGCCGAATCCGAATCCACCCGCCGGCGGATTCCCTCCGCCGACTTCGCAGTATCAACTGCCGCCAGTTCAAGCCGCACAAGACCAAAGGCCATACGACGACAGAAGGCCTTATGACGAGAGGGGACAGTACCCAGACAGAGGCATGCCGTCGGATCCGTACTACCAGCAGGGCCCGCCACATCAGGGACGTGGTGGCGGATATGGTGCAGACGTATACCCGTATCGTTTTCCCCCGGCGCCCAACTACCCATATGGACCTGGTGCTCCTCCGCCCCCTCAACCACAGCCGCAACAAGCTGCTCCGCGTCAGCGTACCTCCATAGCGTGCAAGTATTGCCGGAAAAGGAAGGCAAGTACAAGATACTGTGTTGCAACTCTTCGGTTTTTCCACAAACGTTTTGCTAACTCTTCGGCTCGACAGATCCGTTGCAGTGGGTATCAGAACACCACAAATGGCAAATGCTCCAACTGCGACAAACTGCGCATCGATTGCATCTTTCAACCTGTCAGCAGCAATCCATCGACGGCATTTGTTCCCGTAGCAGCGGTGGCAGGCGGTGTTCCTCCTGGAACACCATTGTACGGAGCCTATGGTCAGCCTCTGCCTTCATCTGCGCAGCAACAGCCACAACCGCCCCCGCCTCGTGGCTATCCGCACTCCGGATCAGAGTACCCTCCCCCACCACAAATCCAGTCACCCAGTCTCCATTACCCGCCATTCGATGACAGAGATGCCAGTCGTCGGAGACCTCGCCCACAAGATGAGGAACATGTGATGCGGTTGCCTCCGCCGAACAACTCGCGCGACGATGATCCTCGGCGCAGGTCCCCAGCTTCAAACCATAGCAATGGCACACCGCCGACCTACCAGCAACAGTATCCTCAGGGTGGCTATGAGTCAGATAGGGCACCCACTCCTCTCAGGAATAGCCCCGGTAACCCCGCGCCGACTGTTCCGTTACAACCAAGCGCGCGTCCTGGAATTCCTCCTCCCAGCGCCCCCTCGAACCCAATGAGCCTAGATCGGTTTTTGGAGAACGACCCCCACGCAAACCGGATTGATCGCGGCATGCTCGACAGGCTCAACAGGCGCAGCTAGGAGCAGCACCAATTTGATGCCTAGAGGGTCTAGAGGGCCTGGGTCAGGCCTTCTTCGGTGTAGCTGGAAAGATATTGGGTTCCATGTTCTCGGATGATTATCGCCCCGCTGAGCGGGTGCGAGAAGGGAAAGCTTGATGGTTTGATTTCATTGTGTTATTTTGTGGATTAAGGTTGCCGCAGGTTGCTTTTTGTATGGCTCTGGTTGGCTTCGCTTTCACGCATATCGCGGGAACAAAGAGCCAGAAGCAGAGGAAGGGTGGAGTTGTACTCGAAAAGATCCGGCTGCCTCAAGGCAAAAATGGGTATTGGGTGGCTCTTGTCGTTTGTCTCGTATATCACACGTCAGTCGATTTCTTTTGTGAAGGCGCGCAACGGGTACACTATTTCATGGTTGGCAGCATGTTTTTCGGTGGGAGGCCGTTTTATCAGTTATTTCTTTACTGCAATCGCATATTCAGCGCCTTTGAACTATTATCTTAAAGTATGAAAATGAGCGTTGAAGGCACGTTATTTACTCCCTAGTGAGTCGCTGAAGTTTTACAGATCTTCGAAAGGCTCGCCCAAGTGGAGATCTGGTTGTGCTCTACGTTTCTGGATTAACATGTGTCGACCTAATTGTAAAAGGAATAAGTAGGATTGGAGGCCAGTGCTAGCTAGACCTTATGAGACATGAGCCACCATCGTCAGCATCATCAGCATCGCTTCCAAGTCGTAGAGATGTGACATAGGTAATATCCCGCAAAGATTTCTTATGCGCCAACATCCAGTTTACATCAGCTCACCCGTAACCCCGACCAAGCTATATATGTGGCGACCAATGGGCCGCACAAGTTACTCGTATTACTATAAACGCATGCGAGCAACCGTACGTGTCCGTTTCGGTACTGTCTGTCTCAGACAAACGAACAGGCAACTTGCTAGATGCAAACTAACTGATCTAAGAGAGTGTATAGGCAAGCTTGTGAGCCAGCAATCTACTCCTCTCCCTATGCTTCAAGTCATATAAAAGCCAGAGAGTGTGGTGGTCACACTGACTCCACTCCTTCTCACACCTTATTCTTTCTAAAGAGGTAGTTAGGCCCTATTCGAGCCTTTGCTCTTTCAGAGACAACAGTAGAGGTATCATCCCGCATCACCCTACTACCTTTTCACGATACACACAACACACGACCAGTGCATCTATGTAGTGTATTCCTGGAAGGGCAGAATCTGGTGTGTCAGTCTTGCTCATTCTCTCTCGTCTTGTGCAAATCAGATGCTGTGCTTCACTTCCACCGCACTTCAAGTAGGTATGCTTCCTACCCTCTACCTCTCTCCTCATATTACAAGAGGTAGTTCATGTTAATAGTGAATGTATGATGTTTACAAGTCTTAACCCAGTCATTACATACCTACCTAGCATATGCACCCCGGTGCCTCTTCCCGGTTCCCTTTATCCTCCCCTGTTCGGATCCTTCTCCAGCCCCCTTTCTTCTCCCTCCTCTCTGTATGTATGCACGGTACCTGGATGTATGGATGGACGGAGGGATGGATGAACAAACTTCCCCCAGGATATGTATCTGTCCGTCCACCTGCCCAGTGCCGCTAGTGCCGGGTGACCACACACGCACACACACGCACGCACACAAAACAGTTTCCATCATAAGGTACCCTAGTAGCTAAAACCCGGAAACCCCTGAAATCTTGATACGGTAGTGTAAGAAGCGGTTAAACCCTTTACAAGATCCTGCACGCTGGACATGGGTGCCTGTACCTGTACCGTCTGCGGACGGAATGACGCGGATACCTACCTGCGTAATGCCTCTCTCTGCAAGTTGTAAGTGGCGGTCAGTTGAGGTGAGGAGGTCAACTAGGTGCTTAACTCTTGGTGTGGTGTGGTGTGTCTGTAATCTACATATGTTTGTGTAACGGCCAAATACGAAGAGCGAAGGGTTAAGTAAGGTAGTACAATGAGAGAAAATGATAAGTGACAATGTGTTTATTGTAGGGTATTTACGGGCAGTTAGTTAAATGCCAAGGCAGGGAAGTGTGTTTATTTCTGGATGTAGTTGGGATCTCGGGCATCATCATAGTCATCACTTGTAAGGTAGGTACACTAGCTCGACCAAGCCCGTTTCGTTTCCGCAAACATACTACAAACTACAAATTGAAAACCACGAAAAAAAAACAAGCAAATGTTTGTCTTCTAGTAGACTATACCTTCTTGAGCTACACCATACGTGTATGTAGGGACGCGAGCGGTCTCAAGTCTCAAACCCCCTTTAATACCCGCCTGCCTGGCTGGAATGGCGCGGCTCGGTCCCGTGTTCCCGTGTGTTGTACCTGGGCCCCTGCGGCTGGTGGGTAGGTAGGTGGTGGGTTAGTGGGCAACGACAACGGCCGAGATGTTTGCGGGTTGCGGGTTCGGGTTTGACCGTTCCCGTCGTCTCGCAGCCTCCCCATAGCCCTTCCCTTGATCCCTTTCCTTACCTTTCCTTCCGAATTCATTCCGTCTGCCAGCAACGATGTAAGCTGTAGACGGGAGTGTCCGATGCAAAACCCCATTGTGGATGCCTCGTTGACGAAAGCATCGCTCGGTCAATGGCCAAAGCAGCACGGGTGGGTCCAGGTAGGACTTGGAGACCACGACGGGACTGAGGAGAAAGCTCCAAAGGATGGAAGGTTACCTCTGTTCAGGAGGACAAAGACCTACCTACCCGACCGCGGGTCGATCGACATGGGATGGTCCGATGCAAAGAAAAGGGTTCAAAAATGGTACTTGCTTGAGCTTTGTTCTCGTCACACGTTCAGGCAACTTGAATTTTTTAATTTTTTTCGATTGTTCTTTGTGAGCTTTGGTTGGCTCTTGGGAGTCAGGGATAGCAGTGGGAAGCAACTGAAGGGACGTAGGTGTGGAAGGGTACATAAAGCCGTTGGAACCCAGTGGCTGCTGCGAGAGTGTGCCGGATGCGTCGGCGGCCGGTACCTGCCATTAATCAGCCGTGGAGAAAAACCCACCCATCTTCCGTGAGAGTTCTATGAAGGAACATTTGAAGTTGTCGATAAGTACCTTACACTGGGAAGCTTTTCGCAGGGAACTGGTGTTTTTGGCCGCCGCCGTTGTTTGGACAGAAGCAACAACCTTGCAAGATGAGGTCGAGGTACGTAGGTATTGTAGGTTTTTTGAATTGTAACGAACATGAAACGGAACCGATACATGTACAACATTGTAAAATACCCAATGTGACGGAAAGTTAACAATCTCCGTAACCGGCCGGGTCAAATCGAGTGATGGACCGACCTGCGGGTGTGTGATCGTCCCAGAAAGAAGGGACAACCCTTTCCATGCCATCGCAATGTGCTTGATCGGTTCCGTAGCAAAGAACCGAACCTGGGCGGGGCCGCTGCTTGGCTTGTCTTCTTCCTGACCATTCAAGTTTCTTTACACCCCTCGACAGCCTGTGAGAAACAAACGCGGGACGGAGGTGGTGGGTGTTCCAAGCGTTCAGTTAGCGTGAATCCAAAACATAGCGCTGGGCCTCCCGTCCTCGGGGCGGAAGGGCGTCGGATGTTCCCGTTGCATGGCATCCAATCTCCACAACCACCACAAACGTCATGGTGTACGTAGTGTACACTACGCGGGACGTAAGGTGAAATTACCGTAAGCACAGTGCAACTGGGGAAAGGACGGTATACATCCACAAAGTCACTTGATATCACTGAGAGTCTTCTCGACAACCTCTCTTCCAAGCATATGAATTAGTGTGATTCTACAGAACATATCGTGCGATCACTGTTGCACGAGCGCCGCTACTTCCTTTCTTCTTCATCGCTATCATGATCCAAGTCACGAAAAGTGCGTTGAAAATATGGACTGCACAATGACCCAAAGACGCCTGCACCCGGTGCTTCACCATCAATCCTGGCAGACAATATTAATGAATGAAAAGAAATAAAGCAAGCAAGGTATGTGGAAAAGGATTCTCATAATGCTATGATGATTTGCAAAAAGACTTCTGCTTGCTCATCACAGTCGCATGTCAATGTCATCACCGTAGAAAACTTGCTACTTCAACAAGCTCAAAGCAAAGTTAACTCACGAGATAAGTAACCGATAACCACCTGCCCAGGCACCCAAAAGGCTTCTGGGGCAACTTTGCCTTCCTGTCCATATACAAGAGAATTCAATATCACTTGTATGATGCGTGGGCAATGTTTGTTGTCTTTGTGGGAAACAAAATTACAACAATAAAGCAAGTAAACGCCAAACATTTCACTCCCTAGATGTCCAAGATACTTATCCCAATGAACCCAAAACAACCACCCCAACATGCTCATATCGCCAACAAAACAAACGTTTGATTTCGATTCGCCGGGCATGTCGTCGCGCACATCCACTTCAACGTTCTCTGCTCGGGTGGTCCGGTGGAGCTGAGCCCACAACTCCCCTTGTCTAGACCGGAACTCCAGTCGCGCGAAGCCCGGTCCGTAGGGCAAGGGCACGGGGTCACGCACCGGCACACGACAAATTTCTCATACCCCCTGGTCACATCGGCATGTGAAGATCGTACGTGATGGGTAGGTGTCTCAGTGCGATCTGTCGGATCGGTGGGACTCGGGACCGGGGGACTGGGGACTGAAGACTGGGGAGGGGGGGATCTCTTGCTAGTGTGCGTACAATACGTACACAGGAAACGTTCGCGATGTGTGCGCTGGCCTAGTGGACTGGTGGACATCGAAAACGGGCTTCCCCCCTTGTCTTTTTCGCGAAGATTCCGTTTCTCCCTCCCATTCCTTCCGCTTAACATGGCCCAGCGTCTTCGCCGTCTTGTACTGACCGGTAATTGCACGACTGAAACTTTGGTACACCGGACAGCTTCAAGTGACTGAAAGATTCCGGCTAGCATGGCGGCGGATGTGGCATACGGACCAATCCTTTGCAGCCCCGAAGCGAGAGTATTCCCATAAAGTAACGGTGGTACAGGTCTCCATACTTCGAGCCGACGTTGGGTTGTAGCCCTATATTGAATCACATTGACACACACACACCGACGACGTGACACTAACCGATATTTGAAAGTCATGCTCTACCTTGAAATAGGCATTGATTGAGGTTCCTCGGGTGTCTTAACTTCGATCTGCAACGGAGACTTTGAATGCAGCAAGCAGGGAGTATGGAAATCAGGAGCAAAATCCGCGAAAGATGGTAGATTTGTAGTTTACGCTATTCCCTCTGGGCAACAGATTATCACCACAATTGGTGCTGATATGAAGCTCTCCGGAACAATACGAAAACAATAAAACCTGGATCCAGGACAACCGCAAAGGAAAGAAAACAAGGTCGATTCACACCGTACGACAGACAATCCGACCTCCATGCACATAACCTGGGTATCTCAGTATCTTTATTCCACAGTCGTATGCGAAGAAGAAAACCACCAACGACAAAAGAACGCAATATTGTGTAACGACGAGTCCGAGGCACTTCATGTGCACGCACAACTCTTGCTCGGGTTTGGAGGGAAACAACAAAAGGAAAGCTTGGAAAAGGGAAAGGTCTTAGGACCCTCATGGCTAGCTTGCTTTCAGGAAGTAGGTGGATATGTTTAGTTATCGCGTGGCCTCTGCAACCTGAGATTGGGGCTCAAGAGTCTTCCCGGTCCTTAGGTTACCGCGGAAATGAGTCAAGCCCTCATCCTTAGGCGGCAATTCTTCGTAGATCAGGTCTTCTTGACCGGACATTGACTCTTCCAGGACGAAATATCGCTGAGAGACACATGCTCTGTAATAGGTGTAGGTCTCTCTAAGCCCTACCCTACGCCTTCTGCCGGCTCCAGGTATCACATCCCTTTCTCGCCACTCACCCACGTTAATTACGACACGTTGCCATTTGGCTGGTGCTGGTCCCGGTCTTTGTTTAACAAGCATCGTAAAACAGTCGAACGCCCTCGTGAGATCCGGGTCTTGGCCAGGACGGTGATTAGACTCGGGTTGGATAACTGTTTGCGTATGTAGTACGAGGGTATGCAGACGGGGAAACTGACAGAGGGCCAAGAGACATGCTTCCGGTAAGGCCCTATGGTCAATGTCTATCTCGAGTGATTCCAGCGAACTGAGAGATCTCGAAAGAATAGCAAGTTTCTCGGCGCTCAAGACAGGGCGGTGTTGGCGTAGATTATTGGAGACATTGTGATCCCGAAAGACCAAGCCGGTCAAGGACTTGGCATGGACTAGAAGTGCGTCGATATGAAAAAGGTCAATGAAGCAAGTGAGCTTCAGGGTCTGCAATGACTTAATAGGGCCGTTAACCAGAGCGTATAGCTTCTTGGTTGCACGTTTCGGATTCTCATGGTCGATGGCCTCACTGTAGTCCTCGGCATGAAGGTGTTGGAGTTGGGCGAGATCAGAAAAGGGAACTGATTCGAGGAACTTGTAGACGGGTATCATAAGAAGTTCGAGAGAGCGTATTCGAGAAAAATCCCAGTGCCTTTTGACTTCTTCTGCGTCATGCTTCCAGTCATAGTTTTTTAGCATGAGGTTCTTGAACGGGGGAAAGCGCTGATTCTCTTCAAAGCTGAATTGTCGTCCAGGAACTCGGGGGGCTCGACAGTCGATGTAGTGGAAGGTTTCCAGCTGCGGGGTCCTTAGAAGAAGCTTCTTCAGAATCTGCAAAGCGGATTCGGAATGAGGGACGTGGGCAGGGCCCATCTTGAGGGAAACCAAGGACTTGCTGATATCAGGTCTCGAGGAAATGCCTCTGGTTTTCCTCGTCTCATCGATTGGATTCGTCAATGTGAAGTTGTCAAAGTAGAGCCTTGCGTTGCACTCCCTCAGGCAAACCCCCTATCGTAGACTTGTTTCCAGGGGCATATAGGTTCCACCCCTCGACCTGGCGAATATGTGTACTTCACTGACTGAAGCCTTTTAGAGTTGGCCAGAAAACTCTCGACGTCATTTTGTTCGACGTCGCTGTGCTGAATGTCGCTGTGCTGAATGTCGCTGTGCTGAATGTCGCCCTGCTGGATATCGCCATGTTTGATGCCACCTCCGATGAAAAGCCGTTGAGTATAATCCAAAGCGTTTTGGTGACGACGGGACAAGACTTCTTTCGCACAATCTTTCTGAAGGAGATGTTCCAACGGGACTGTATGGTAGATGATCGGCGTCGTAATCTTGTTGAATCTCTGACAGACACGAGAGACAGTTACTACGTCCCGCGGAGGAAGCTGCAAAGTCAGAATCAGTATATGTCATGCCAAACTATCATATACTTAGAGTACACCTACCTCTTCGAAAATAAGTAACAACACCTCAGTGCAGAGGTTATCAAGCCTCAGAGAAGTACTGTGAGTGGGGAGGCCAGGTAAGGCGTGAGTACTGTATGGCTCCTCCATCTGGGGGAGTGACCCAACAGAGGTGATGAAAAAGGTGTATGATGTTCGGTCGTGATCCACGCTAGGGAAGCAAATGTCGTCTAGACAGGGAAATATGCAGAGGGGTCCACGAGAGAGGCTTTGGTTGACTTCATTCCAACGGCAGGCCGAATGTATGACGGGAGTGACCCGCCATTATACCTTTTGACTGTTGAGCCATCCTGCCAGCATCCGAGGAGAGAAGAAGAAAAGACACGAAGAAAGCGGACAGCTAGCAGATGTCAGTCGACAATGCAAACGCTCTGAGAACCCTGTCGTTAGTCCAAGCCACGTATGGAGAAGGGGATTCATCGGACAATTGGGTACCAAGTCGAGATTAGGCAGATTTGGGTAACTCGAACACGGAAATGCAAGTCTGGTACTGCCGTGGTGGTGAAAAAGCTGGGTGTGTGTTCACAATGTTTGCGGAAAAGAAATGGCTGTGAGAGATGGGAGTGTCAAGCGAGTGGTCGACATCGGAGCTGCCCCTGGTTTGGGGTGACAAGAAATTTAGACATGGACCACCAAAAAGTTGTGATCGGCGAGTCCCGGACAGTGCAGGTTACCGTGCACTGAGTGACACTGACAGAAAGGGAAAGGGCCGGTCAGGGTCCAGGGCTGGTGCTTGCCTGTTAGGGACGAGGATAACGGCTAGAGACAATTGGGAAGGATTGAGAGACTGGGGAGGCAAGTACCGTGACAAGCTTGGGACTCGGTGTGTTTGACAGGATGAGGTGACTTCCGAAAGTTGGAACCCCGACTGACAACACGTCACTGCACCTCAGGAGAGACAGCATGCCTCTCGTCGACAGTCACATCGGCTTTCTCCATCCATCTGCTTTCTTCCCATCAAACTATCACATTCTGTGCAACTTCAACGCCTGAGTTGACGAGAATCCATCAGTCTGGTCATTCGACTATCCCGGGTCCACAACCCACCTCAAGCCAGGCACACCTGATGCTCACTGCCCTTTCTTCTTCCACTGGGTCAAAGAGGGGACGAGGACCTACAGGTGTGGGCGCGCAATACATGTATGTTTCACTCCTCTACATATGCTTCACGTTGCTGACCTGTTATCTGCGGATGCGATACATCGGAGCCCAGACCCAGACTGTCGGTTCTACCCTGACCGGATCTTAGCTCGACCTTCGCATCTCCCCACAATACCGACCGGTCTGACAGTTCCTGGCGATATGGCTTGTCTCAAATGGCCTTACATTGGACGACACCCCAGTTCGCTTCCCCCCCCCCCGTTCCCGGCTTCGGCCGCCCCTCTATCACTTGGGGAGGGAGCTGGTCTAGCTCTGGACCATCCACGGTTCCATTCTCATGGTTGTACCGCGGTTTTCCACATATGGACCATGCGACAAATACCCTGGTGATATGTGAGCGACCACGAGAGATCCAAGAGCACAGACCCCGACCACCTCCGTTGGAGGAAGCTAGTCACAACATCTCGCAATCTGCATGTCAAGGCATTTCAACATGTCTCGGAAGCGGTCCTCCATACTTGCGAGCCCAGTCACAACTGGACAAGCCTCTTTCCTCGGCGCGTAGCGTTACGAAAATTGTCAATTTCCATACGTGTCGCCTGGCGGATGGATTAGGGCGGCAGGATAATCGTAGGGAAGTATCTCCCAAACACAACTGGCGAGCTACCATAACCCCGAGGGGTACAACTGTTTTGGTGGTTGCTGGGCACAACTCATCACGCTGCCCAAAGGTGCCATGGTGGCAGCTGTTGCCAAACATCGAATTCCTGCGTAGCGACAAAAAGCATATGCGGAGAAGAACCGGATTGTTTGACCCATGAGACATGCAACTTGCATCGGGACCCTTGGCGAGATGACCCTTTCGACTACTGCAAAGCCACGATTCTTCGGTTATCGCTCAATCTGACCTAGCACGACGCTATTGCTTTGGCGGAGGCGCTCCTGGTTCGTCCGATCTTCGAAGAACTCTATGGATCATGGGGATCGGGACTAGGAGACCCAGATCAATTCGATCGACCCCAAGGTAGGAGACACTCAGGACACTCATGTACAGTGCAATATCTTCACCACACTCCCCTATCCAGCCCCCACACCAAGCTGAATCATTGGTCGACGAGAGCTGTTCGGGGACTTCATCACAGTTTCACATCACTTCCGTGGTGCTCTCTCTGCGCTTGTTCAGAGCTGGTGAAAGAAGCGTGTGGACGTGGTACCCGACCATGCCGACTCGACAAGGAAAAGGACATCTTCTGTGTTTCACAGTGGTAGGCAGTCTCTCAGCATTTTGTTGCTTCATCTGCGCCTGAAGGGCTGGTCCTCTGAGATTATAGCATTCTGCCAAATAGGTCAGCATCAACGAGCCTCTCAGACGACACTAACACGGCAATCTGATAAAACTTCAAATCGCATGGCAAGGATCGAAGACCGCTTCACGTCACCAAGTACAGATGCAGTGGCGCTCGTGGAAGCATCAAGCCATTAACCAGAAGCAAAGGTGAAGTTACAGCGTTTTGGGACATGTCGACAGGGAAGATGTGCCGAAATGGGATGCGCTTGACACGGGAAAAGGACGCCGTGAGGACGAGAACAGCGGATGATCGCATTGCACATGCCCAAACCCTAGGCGGTAATCCGAATGCCGCGCCTTGAACGCAGCCAAATCTGACTTTCATCTACACTCGCACCTGTACAAGACAAACAGGTCCTTGCTAGGACAGGGTATAGAGGTAAATATCAAAAACCAAGCGCTAACAAGCAAACTAGGGGTGTTGTGGCATCACCGGATTCCTTTTATCGGCCGACTCATGTGCATAATCGGGCCAGGTACGTATGATGAAAAGGGACGAGTGCTCAACGAGACCACTTGATGTGACGTGTTGCTTCCTCCGTCTGCCTGCCTGCAAATACAAAAGCGAAACCAAGAGGGTGAAAGGACGAGTTCGATCAAAACGACTCGACAAGAAGAAAAATGGGAGACTGAAAGAGCCAAGGAAAGCAAACAAGCGTATTCTCATGCCATATCATTGCCTACAAGCGAGCTCGTGTCACCACACGAGGGTATACCGACCAGATTCGGACATCGAGTTCTCTTCCCTACGTACCACAAATGCGCCGAGAAAAAGGGGTCTCGTCTTCGCTCGGCCATTCGGCAACTTTATAGACAGCCCAACGGACAAACACGATGCGTTCATGCAAGAACAGCAACGTTGGGTTGCTTACAAACTCGTCCGCAAATCGCAACGCTCTTGCTGCTTTAATTCCTGCTGCCCCGCAACAGAAGTACCAGCTTGCTGGCGTGGACCCAGCAAACACTCGACACAAATCAGTTCTTCCCAGGTATCAGGGTTCAAGACCCGGGAGGATCGAGGCCGATGATCTGAAACTTGAGACTCGGATTCCGATAGGCAGGCGATTTTGGGCAGTAGATGAAACCAGATCGACAGGATGGAGCAAGACAGAAAGAAAGGCGTAGGCGGCAATTGGAGGGGGGGGGTAAGTGTAGCGACGGATGGGGAGCGCAATAGTCCTCGTACGGATTGGTTGATCGAAGAGATCTGAATTATAAGAACCTAACCGGCTCATCACCATGTTTCCCTCGTTCCGTTGGTCTCCTGCCGGAGCCACGTCCTGTTCCCAACTTGTCCTAACTTTCCACCAAAGATCCTGGCCTATCGATGACGGACAGAAAAGAAGGTAGATATCATCATCTATTCATTCGTCCGCCTTAGTAGCGCTCAAAATCACCTCTGGACCCCGGTTGAGCGATGCACATCTCCACTACCGTACAGCCCATCGTCACTAACTGGCGTGACAGGTTCTGGTACCGAACTGCTCGTATTCCCAGCACCAGCGCCAGCCGCTGAACCCCCGCCACTTCCTCTGTAATCATACGCCGACGATGAGTTGTAGCTGTAGTTGTTGTCATTGTTGCTTCTCCCGGCGCTCGCGCTGTTACCGCCAAATCCAGGGTGGTATGGCTCAAACGACAATCTCTCCTCGTTGTTTCCCGCGTTCGTCGTGTTCAATGTCGTCGAGGGTTGTACCCGCCGCATCGAAGAAGCCGAGGAATCAGGCTGGACCGGATCCCTGAATGGGTCCTCTTCGTCGCGATGCGGCGTTCCCGTGTGGGATCTCGAAGGCCCTGCGGCAGCAGCGGAGGAAGATCCGCCAGCTACAGGACCGGAAGAGATCGGCTCGTACTTGTAGTCGCCCATCCAGTCGTTATCGATGGAGGTAGCTGCCGCCTTGCCTTTCCCTCTGCTACTGCTGCTGGCGCCCTGGCCACTTCCGCTTCCGCCTGCAACCGCAGCTGAACTACTTGCCAACCAATCCTGGACGCCTTCGTTCCTACTATTACTCGACGTCGCAGCCTGAGGAGGCCGGCTCTGCTCGTTCACTCCCGGCGCCACCGAGCCCGGCCTGCTCACGCTCTCAGAGCCGGGGCTCCCCACGCCTAGCTGCTTCTTGGCGTTGAGCACCGCACGCTGGTGGTGGTTGAGCGACTGCTGCAGCTGCTCATTGGTGTCGATCAGGCTCTCCATCGTGTCGTTATCAGGAGCCGGGTCCGTCGCCGACATGTATCCTTGGATGTTGCGCGACGCGCTCGTGCACCGGTCCGAGAACTCCTTGATCAGCTCGTTGGAGAGGATCTCTTGCGGGGGCGTGCAGGCGACTACTTGCTCGAGAAGCTTGGCGGAGGTGCGGGCTTCTTCGAGCCGGTTGGCGAGCTCGACAGGGTCGGGGAGGCGCGCGGTGTGGGGGGTGCGTTGGAAGTATTCTTGCTGGTTTGCTACCGACTGCTGGTGGGAGAGGTAAGGACTGTACTGCTGGGGTGGGGGTGATGAGAAGCGATGCTGAGAGGGGTATGGTCGTGTTAGTATGTACGTGGTATGATTGGTTTCACTTGGGCTTGCTACCCCGTGGATGATGATGGAACAACTTACGCCGTAGACCCTGTATGCCTTTTCCTTCTCCTTCTTCCACATCTCGATCAACAATTGCAGGTTCTCGTCGTAACCCTTTGTGCTTTCGAAGGCGTCCAGCGTCTCCATGAGCATCTGTCGAACATTGCCGTCCTTCCCTGACCTGAGCAGCTCCTTGGTGGTATCGACAAACTTCTTATCCATGTTTCTCGTGAAGGTCGCACCGGGGTTGTCGGCGAGGATTCGTATCAGCATGATGGCGTTGTATTGCAATGAGGGTTTAGTCCAGTAGTCGCGATGTAGGTATTTCCGAACCAGGCGGGCGCATTCCGCGGCGGCGGCCGGCGATGACTCGGCCGCTTCGACGATCGATGGTAGGAAAGCGACTTCGTCACCCTGCTTTATGTCAGTTGTTGATCACAGGATATGTGCGGAGTGTGTGTGTGTGTGTCCGTGTAGGAGCCGGGGCCGGAGAAAGATCAGATCTGTAACTCTCGGAGCTCCTGGTCCTCTCTCCCCGCCCGGGAATGTTGGAGTCGCGACTGGCAATGCAACCAGAACAAACGTACCGAATTACCGCTATCAGACAAGCAGAATTGTTTCTATCATTGTAAGGACCCAGATTAGCGGCTTGAACTTCCAGGAAGGCGGGCGTCTTTCATGGGGTGATGGAGTAGGTAGCCTACCACACAACGGGCTGCCGTCGCCTCGGGGCCATCACCGGTCGGATCGGGTGTCGCGTCGTCAACATTCCCGTTTCCACTCCCGCTTCCACTTCCACTTCCAGCTATAAAGGGATATAAGCTTCAGAACATGATATAGGTTGGGGGAAGTCAAGTCGCTTTTGCTCCCACGGTGAGAGTCGCAAAACGGCTGCTATCACGAAGAGGTGGTCGCGGAGAGCACGATCTAACCAGCGCTTACCATTTGAGAATGTCGGCTTCTTCTTGATGCTGCTCAGCACCTTGTTCATGCTGAAGTTCTTCATCTTGCTTGTCATAATTGCGCCCAAGCCAGGGCGAGGTCTCGTATATCGAGTAAAGGCGTTGAAGACGAGGGTAGCTTGAATCCGAAATTATGTATGTCTCGTGTCTCAGTAACGGGCGCGGGTGCAGCGGAGAGACAACTAGTCGGCGTCGGCTTGCTTTTGGTCGCCAAATCTTATAAATTTGTCGGGAAGTACCTTACGTGCACAGGAGAGGTGGTTCCGAAGAGCCTGCAACTGAATTGAATTCCGTGGTGAGCTATCGAAAGGCAGATGTAACGGCTGGGTTCCCAGCCAGGCAGGTGAGTAAGACAAGGCAGGGGATTCAGGTTGTTGCGACCAACAGAGGAAAGCCTCAGCTGCAGACTACAGTTGACGGGAGTTGAGGGGACGAGTGGCAAGGAACAGTTGCAGTGCCTCCACGCGGTTGACGAGGGTCAGGGGATCACAAGGAAACCGAAGTTTACAATGACAACGCGCGGCTACTATTTGCAGATGGGGGGGATCCAGGTCCAATGACACCTTGGGCTGTTAGTGGACAGTAAAGACAGATCACCAACTCCTGTCATTACGTATTTTGAAATGCCGAGCTCAGACTGCAGTGGAGTATAACTCTATTACACAAGCTTGCTAATCTTATAGTCTGTACATTCTCATATAAAATTAATCCGACTTACAAAAATAAAAATTTAATATAATTATTATAATACGTATTCATATGGAGTCACTTTAACAGATCTCCAGTTAGGATCTTAAACGGTATAAAATGCTGTAAAAGTTATGCAACAATCTAGCAAAATTAAATCCTTATTATTCTGCTTATTAATAGTAATAATACTATTTACTCCGTATCGTTTTCTGTAGAGAAAGAATAATAAGTTTTACTATAGAAGTAAACTTTTCCTAGTTATTTTCCTACTCTTATTAAACTGCTTTCAAAATATTTTTGAAATACGCCCAAATAATAATAATTGCAAATTTTACTACAGAGAAATAATAAATTGATTAAACGAATACTATTTAAATAATTATCTCTACTTTTCTTTTTTTCAAATATCTATTATATTTTCTCTAAATCTTATTTAAACACTCTTAGAATACTTTCGAAATAATTTCAAAATACACTGAGACCAGTTTTGGAATATTCTTAAAATATAACTATCTAAATTCCATCTATTTGACTTCCGAATTACCTCTATATTATTTAACCCAGAATCTGAATTATATAAATAATTAATACATATCTAAATTATAAACATGATATTAGTAAATTTATTCTAATATCGATAGAATTTCCGCTTAATAACAAAAATATTTCTACTACGCTTGAGACGAATAAAAGAAAAATGTATGAATGAATAGTTGGTAAAGGCAAAGGGGATTATGAAGAAATAAAATATAATATATATATACTCTTATATAACTTATATACTCTACAATCAAATTTAATCAAAAAAGCAATATTTAATTACTAGTAAAATATCTCTTATATAAACTAATAATTCACTTTTGTTAAATTATAATCATTTATAAACGCTATAGAAATACTTGCAACGTATAAAGTTCAAATACTTACTATACCGTTTTTCTAAAATAGAATATCTATAAAGTTGACTTTTATACCCGCCGCTCACTCCTTCTTGTTTTACAACTCCTATCCCGGGTTAGCATTGGCTATATAGTATGCATTCCGAGTTCTGCTTTGTAAGCAGAACATTGTTCTATCTTTTGTAGCTTTGGCCGTCTGAGCATATGCATCCCAGCCTGTCATACCTCCTTATTTCACTCCTTTTTAATATCCTCCTACTCCGGCGCTTCCTACTTATCCTTCTACTCCACTACTTTCTATTCCGCTGCCTTCTATTTATTCTTTTACTCTGCCGCCTCTTATTCCATTGCCTTTTATTTATCTTCCTATTCTACTGCCTTCTATTCTATTGCTTTTTATTTAACCTCCTACTCTATTGCCTTCTAGTTATTCTCCTAGTCCGCCGCTTCTCTATCTTACTCTTCTTTTTACCATTTCTTAATATCCTCCTGCTCTACCGCCTTCTACTTATCCTTTTACTCTAATACTTCTTTATTACTCTTTACCATTACCTCCTCTGTTGATTATTTTTATTATCTTCCTAGTTACTAATCAATTACTTAAATTGCTTCGAATTGAATAAGTATCCCTTTATTTCAAATCTATCGCTTCTTCATTTACAAAATAAAACTTTGAATGTGTATCAGTATTAAATATACTATGTTCAATTAGACTAAGTAATTATACATTAATTTCATATTATACAATTACAAGCAAATTATATATTAGTAATAATTTCATAAACGTTGATTTTAATGCCACCTAAAGACGTTTTAAATGTAGATTTTTGAAGAACTTCGTAAATAATATACAAACATTATTCAAAATGAGATTAGATAATAAAAGCCATTTTTATATATTAAAAGATTTTAATAATCAATAAGCAAATTTTAAATACCAGTAATTATTATTATAATTGATATTATAATAATATTAAAAATTGTTCCCTTTACAGTTACAATCAAGTTCTTTCAAACAGTGAAAAACCTTATTAAAAGTAATTAAATGTCACAGGTTGGCATTGGCTATATAGTGTGCATTCCAAGTTCTTCCTTGCAAGCAGAACATTGTCCTATCTTTTGTAAGTTTGGCCGTCTAAGCATATGCACCCTAGCTTGTCATAGTACTACTTTGTAATATTTCAACTTATTTTATAACATATTAAAGTTTTAATCACTTTATAAATAAACTATACATATATTTGAATAATTATGAATTTGCGTTTTGGTAGCGAAAATAATAATAATAAATTTTGAATAATTTAAAAATATGATGTAAGTAAGCTGTTAATTACCTGTCGAACGAAAGAAAAAGAATAAAGGAAGGTTGGATAAAGAAACATTAGTAAACGTAAATCAACAGAAAATGATATAGAAATATATAGAATTAGAAATCCAAAAAGTATTTACAAATATATAATTATAATATTTCTACCATACTTATCTATCTTTATTAATACTAGTTAAATATAACGTATATTCTCATTCATTGATCGTGTAAAACACTATTAAAGATTAAAATTTTGATTTTAATTTCAATTCATATAAAAGTTATATACTATTCAACAACTGTATAAAAACTAATAATATCAATTATAAAGAGCCGCTAAAACGTGAAAGTACAATAGTATTATAATTATATAGTTCAATAGCTTTCTACATAGGTTATTACTTTATAGTTCTATATTCAAAATCTATAGTAAATTTCTTTTTTTATCAAAAATTTAAATACGAAATATATTGCACTATTCTTTTTTATAAAGACCTTAACCTAGTATGACAGGCTGGGATGCATATGCTCAGACGGCCAAACCTACAAAAGCTAGGACGATGTTTTGCTTGCAAGGCAAAACTCGAAATGCATACTATATAGCTAATGCCAACCTGTGACTAGGCACGCACAACGTACATAGCACGTGATCACGTGCGTACGCTAGTCAGACATGGTCTAACTATGATGACCTGCCTTCGGCAGGCATCACGTGCTGCATCTATCATAAGCTAATCTTGTGATACCTAGTGTTATTAATAATATACCTAGATTACCAACTATAAATAATAAGAACGTATATATATAGAAAATACATATTGCAAAAAAGCTTAGTTTATTTTTAAGTATTTAAGGTTTTCTTTATTTATTCTTATATATATAATATTGTTAGGGTGGCCGAGGCGATAAGCAAAAGGAAGAAGCTGAGTGCCGCAGAGGCGCGTGCGCGGTTCGATGGAACCACGCTGCAGTACCACACATGGCCCAGTACGGATGAGAACTCATCTCCGCACTACCTCTCGAAGGCTATGAGCTCACTCCTGGTGCAAATCAGAACGGGCAAAATAGGCTTACGGGCGTTCCTCTTCGAGAGAAGAGTGCCGGAGGTGACAACACCGTATTGCCGGTGCGGGTTAGCGAAGGAGACGTTCGAACATATTGTCTTGGAATGTAGAGAAACAGAAGACATATGGTTATGGGGAGACCCAACGTGGCCGACAAACATTGAGCAACTCCACGATAAATCCGAGACAGTGGCGGTATGACAGGCTAGGATGCATATGCCCAGACGGCCAAACCTACAAAAGATAGGACGATGTTCTGCTTGCAAGGCAGAACTCGGAATGCACACTATATAGCCAATGTCAACCTGTGACAGGCGGGGGCGGAACGAATCCTTCGCTGGGCTTTGCGACTGGGACGACTGCAGGAGTACAAGCTGGCAGTGAAGATCGAACAAGCGAAGGAAGTAGAAGAGCTACTAGGGAATTCAAATTGATCTTTGATTCTGGAAAGTGGGAGTACGGTCGGGGGACCACGCAGCGGAATCAAAGATCGGGCTTCGGGAATGACGGTGAGGTCATACCGAGAGGAAGATAAACATTGAAGTCACGGCGTCGACACGGCGTCGTTGTAATAGAGAAGCGGAGGGTTTTCATCCGGCCACGGTACGGTTTTTCCCACCGACTAAGAGTGGAAGCAGCACCGTATACCCACAGGGTAGACTATGTAAATAGTTTAGCATGATAAGAAAATATATTTATTATTTATAATTTATATTTTGTTCAAAAATTTTAATAAAACCTTTGTGGAAGAAATTTACTTATTTTTTGTCACGGCGCTAGCGGACCACCACATCACTAAGCTATGTTTTAAAAGGATACCAGTAACCGAAGCTGGCAATTCGGTTGCTCAAGTGGTCTTATATAATTGCGATGGTAGTTGAGAGGCTTAACTGCAAGGCTGCTATCATAATAAGTAATATAAATTTATTAAAAATACTATATAAACGCTTACCTACAGTATATATAAAATAAATTTATATAATGTTTTTACTTCCTTATGGAACTCGCGCTTCGAAAGCTTTATAATCGAATATATTTAATTATTAAAATATTATTTGTCAAATATTATTTATACTAATGAAATTAATGTAAGTAAAAGCATAATATAGAAATAATGAACTACTAATAAGTAAAATAATGAAAGGTGTATGCTTCATTCTTTATTTAACTAATAAGGCTTTATTTTATCGGAAGCGGATAACAAATAAGGGTTTCTTTTTCTTTTGTTAATTATAGAGGTTGAATTTTATTCGTAATTTTATGAAGCTTATGGGTTTAAATATTTATAATACTAAATTCCATTACGATTTAAGTCAATATAGCGATATACAACATAACTAAAGAAATTTAACGTCATGGTCTTCTCTGGTATTCTTTTTATAATATATTATTAAATTCTTGATATATAATATAATATATTAAAAATTGAGCTGAAATACTCATTATGTGAATGAAATATTTTATGTTTCTTACTATAGGATTATAAATTAACCTTTGTTCTAACTTCTAACGTCCATAATAAACGCAGTATTATCATTAGTATATTTTAAATATTTAAAAATAATATTTATAGAGTATATTATATTTACGAACTTAAAATGTAAATTTAGAGTATCCTATAAAAGAAGGGTCAAACCTATGTTATTGACTTTAATTAAAGTAGAATATATTTATATTAGTATAAATGTAATTTTATAATAGTACTATCGTTGTAAATTAATTTATTCACAAAAAAGTCAGATAATATCAAGATATTGGAGGAGGTTATATCTTTTGATTTATTTAATATATTCAGTTTACTGGCTTCATTATCTGTTAGCACTAACATAATCATTATTAACAATTTAATAGACGCTAACTGATTCCATTCAATGAAATCAAACTTAATGATAATGATTAAGGAGCTGGTTTTGATATTATTATTAAAGATTTAAAACAAAACCATATAAAGTAATTTAAATTTTTGTTCAAAATTATCCAACAATGTATTAGGAATATATTAAGTACGGTTCAAAATATATTCAAAATCTTTTAAAAGATACTCACGTAGTAATAAAATATTGGGTGCGGTTATTTAATTTTTATAACTAGTATCGTTTGGGTAATAGAACACATTTAAAAGATGCAAATTTAAATATATTACTTCTTTCTAAAGAAGTTTGAATAAGCGGTTAATTATCTCTTTATAGAAAAGTTCGAGTGATACGGGAATTGTGAGATTTACACTCAATACAGGTGGTCATGAGAGTGAGGCCATATTGTGTGTAAATAAAAGGTAAAAAAAGATTCTCCTCGAAAAAAGGCCTGGCTTCCAGCCAGCCGTCTGCCCGCAGTAGATATGCAGTGCAGCGAGCTAGGTGGCCCGAGCGCAGGGCAACGGCTGGGCAGGCACCAGAGCCTCCATGACAGCCCAGCTAATCTGGGCTATCATGACTAGTCTAAGCTATAATACCTGCAGGGTATAGTCAACGATACTAGGAATCCAGAGATTCCGGTATTATCGAGTAAATAGTTGATTATTTTTCTATAGAAAAAGGAAAAATTAAAAAGCGTAAGTAAGATAAAAAACTTTTACAGTGTAGAGCTTATCTTGATGTATCCACTTAAGTAGGCAAACTTATATAAGAGGGTCGGGTTATGTAAGCACTCTGATATGTCGGCATTAATAACCAACTATTATACCTCTACAGGCATTTCACATGGACAAACCTGTACGTAAAGGTAGTTGAATCTAACCCCGACGTCGTACTATAATAGGCAGCGAGAGGCTGCTGCCTGCCGTGCCTGCTGGTAACCAAGCTCTTTGAATCTTTGTCGCCTGTGTAGACCTGTCCGAAGCCTTTTGGCGTTTTATGTAACATTCTCAGGCGAAACCGTTTTGATTGGTACCCGGTGGTGTTATCCGCTACGCAGTTGAAGAATGTCGTGTCAGTGGATTGCGTGAGCTGTCAATCTGATGTCGATCTGGAGTCAGAAGCAAGGTATCCGGTACTTGCAACGGCTCTTTTCATTGCCCATCCCTGATGTACTAGTACAGGTGGATTGCGCCTGTGATGGAGACAGGGAGGGTCCTTTGATCTTGGCTTCTTGTGTCAAACCGTTTTGAACCTCACATCCTCCGAGTGCACAACTTTATCCTACCTTGCAACGAATCGAAAGAAAAAAAAGCACACTAGGTCTCGGCCGCGGGAACTCAAAGCAGCAGATTACATATCTAAAAAGCCATACTCTTACTCTTTGTGACTGAAAAACCCCCTAAACAAAGATAAGGCCCTAGGCTCCTAATTATGCTTATTACTGTACAAACCTTCACTCTCAAAGAAGCCGCAAGCTCCCAGCCCGAAGAACCGGCCGTCACTCCTCCTCTTCCTCATCAACAAGATCCTCCACGATCAAGTTGCCTCCCCTGCCCATTTTTTGAGCAATAGTAACCGACACAGTGGGTTCAAAAACCTCCCTTGGCATCACCGACGCGATCCTAAACCCGTACTTGTGTTCGTAGCCTTCAGGCTTCTCCTTGCTTTCTTCCATATCTCCCTTTTCCTCATCATTCTCGAGGTAGAGCAAGTCATAGCATTCAATAAATGCATAGACATCCTCCAATGACGCGTCAGGGGCAAACTTCCGCGTGACTCTCCCCCTTCCGGACGACTGTGACATATTAAGCGCCAGACGGACCGCATCCTTCACCGAGACATCAGGCTCGGGCGCAATAGTAGTAGCACGCCACCTTTTCCATTGCTGGCGCAGCTTTTCCTTTCGCTCTGCTGCCTCAGCCTCTTCTCGTGCGCGCCTCTCTGCCTCGGCAGCAGCGGCAGCTGCCTCCCGCTTTTGCCGTGCTCGTTCTCTGTCGATGGCAAGCGACCGTTCATAAGCCGAATCCTGCTCAGATCGCAAGTTACGGGCCATATCCTGCGCCGCGCGCTCAGCGCGAACACTGTCAAGATCAGGTGCGTACTTCTCAATTGCCCCCCGAATACCGGCAATGAAGACAGATGGGGAGACAGGCCCTGCGATACGCTTCACAATTCCCATCCGCGTGCTTCCCTCTTTCGGCGTTAGGCACACCAAGCATGAAAACGGAAACTTGGTACACATGTACTCCATGGATACTTGATAAGCTTCGGAATCCAGAACATTTCCTCCCCATACTATGATGTTGTTGGCGGGGTCGTTGATGAATGTTACCACCTGGGCATCGAGGAGCGTATCTTTAATGAACGAGTCGGTGTCGTCGTGTTCTGGTGAAATCAGTATCGTTAACAAGAACTTGAGATCTTTCTTTGCAGTGTCCAAAGCTTGAGCATGGCCGCCGTCAAAGAAGGTCAGATCATGCGTGCCATACAGCTCCTCAAATTCCCGTCTGAATCGCCCGGCGGTTTCTTTAGGAAGCAAGCTTCGCCGAGACTTCCGGAGTGACGTTGCTAGAGCATTCGACCGCAGAGACTGCGGAATGAAGGACAGTATGTAGAGTATAGGGCGGAAGAGACTGGCAAAGACCCGAAAGACCATCCGGAAAGGCGACAAGAGGAGGGAAATCAGCGACGGGGCTTGGTATGTGACGGGTCTTGGGGGCACCACACGGGGGGCCGGTGGAGTTCGATTCGCGCGGTGTAGTCCGGCCTGCTGCGCAATGTCCGACCAGACGGTTTCCTGTAATGTCTCATGCCTACCCGCAACCCTGGGCACTTCGCTCTGTGCTGCTTGAGCTTCGGCAACCAGGTCGGGCCCTTCACCGTCAAAGAACTTGGCTATAGCTATCTGGTCCAGATGTTAGTCCCAGCGGGTGAATGCAGGCGTCAAAGAAACGGGAGCCCAATCGGTATGTACCTGAACATTCCACTGTGACCGTTCAAGCAACGGGATAGCATCCGTGATCTCCTGTCCAGTTACATCTGTATATTGCTGCAAGGCCTGCTGTCGTTCCGAAGAGAGCTGTCCGATGTCGAACGCACTATCGCTTGCCATTGTGTGCAGTTCGGTGGTCGCGTGGATAGTTGGAGTGTAATTATAATATTAAAGCCTAACTTGTCGGATCGCGGACGATATGTATCGTTTGGTGAATCAATCGGTTCCTTGACAAGACAGCAAACGGAGTAGAGTTCGGGAAGCTGGCCTCGGTATTAATACTCGTGCTCGATTGTCGAGAGAGCTGGTTGACGTGTAGCTGGGGTCGTGATCGCGAATGCCAATCGAGTCGATGTCGGTTGAAGATAAGGGGAGAGAGAAAGAAGGAGAGAAGAAAAAGAAAAGTGATACCGAGACCAAGAAGAAGGAAGAGGTCGAATGGTGAACCTTGATGGTGCACAGTAGCTACCTGCCTACAATCCGATGTAGAGGTATGTCTGCGCGTTGAGCCGAAGCGTGAAGATACCACGTCAGTTAGATGAGGTCAGCGACCTCGGTTATGTTTCTAACGGAGGTCTATAGTAAGTCATGCGAGATTTGGTAGTCGCATATCTGCAGCTGTCGGTGGTGGAACCTTCCTCTTAGCGGTTGGAAATGGGGCCGAGTGGAACTGAGGGCAGGCAAGCTGCGCGGTGGAAACAGGGTCGCCAAGGTGGGAGTGGTGGGGCGGGAGCGATGGCACACTCGATGTGACCGGGTGCGAGTTCCCCTGTGTCTGATGTCTGGATTCCCGCCCGGCTGCCGCGTGCCCTGTCCGCAGCCCGCCCTGTCCGCCAGCTCGCCGCCGCGTTCCAGTTCCTCAAAGCTTTCTTCGCTGATGCTGGAGAGGTGAGTGGGCACTCGAGGGCAGCAGCTCAGGTTCCCGTCGTCACGGTCACGCATCGCCGTCTTTGCTCCGCAACGTGCTGTAGTGCGGATTGTACTCGCAAAAACATCCGAATCCTACCCCTTGGGCTCGATTCGTCAGGTCAGCGCCGCCAACCGGACCTCCACATCCTCAAAGCAGGATTGCATACGACGTCTGCCAACCAGCACTCCCTTTGTCCCTCCGCGAGTGGCGCATCTCCCACTGGCCCATCGCGTGCCATCCGATTATATACGTCCGTACCTATTCATCGCCAACTTCATCTGCAATATCGTCGACCTAAATCCCGAAATTTCGAGCTCTCCGCTGCTACTACTTGCTACCACACAATTCTGCGCCGGCGCCTTCGCCGTTCCCTATGGGTGTCGGCTTGCCCGAAATATGGGAGAGATCCGTGAGGGTGAAGAAGTATGACCGCCTCTCCGTGCTCGCGAGATGGATGCTTTTGCTAAGCTGCTCTGCTGCAGGCGTTGTAAATCCGGTCCAATACAATAAATAGCCCCTCTACACCATGGCCGCAACGCGATATAATTCGGGCGATCTCCGAAGGCAGGTCGGGTCGCCGCGTGCAAAGAATCGCGGTATGTCCTCAGCGTAGGCCGGGTCTCGGTCGTCATTCTATCGCAGCCCATCAGGCGTGTTATCGCTAACTGGTTTGCTCCTGAAGACACCAAGGAAACGCTCTGCCGCAATGTTGTTATCTACGGACATTGCCGATGGGAGGATTCGGGATGTACATTCAACCATGACCAGAACAAGGCATCTGGTTCACAGACCGACCTGTAAGTCCTGCCCCAACCCGGTTTACATCTGCATGCTTCGTTAGTGGGGGGTTATGCGTCTGGGTCTTGGAAGGAGATTGTAATGACGTGGAGAGATATCCTTTTTTGGGGTCTTCGTTTTGTCGGTGTGCTTTGTTTTTTTCTGACTTTTGCGATAGCAACTCTAACCGAAGAGTCTTCAATGTCGAATCCCCATCCTTTACGCCAGCTAACCAGCAGCAAGCAGCTGGAAAGAAGTCTACATTTTCCTCCCAAGCTGCGAGTGCTGCCCCATTCACCCCAAGGGGAGTCGGCAGTGAGTGTCCCAGGACGGTTCGAAGGCCTTACATGGATGATTAAGCATTGTCTAACTCGGCCATAGCATCCACGCCGACTCTACAACAACCGAATGATTCGACCATATTCAATCCAGCGGCTATCAGAGAGTTCACCCCGCAGAACTACGAAGTCGGCAACACGGTAAGTCATATGTCGAATGTTGATAAATGGCCTTTGCTCACAGTTGTTGGGAGATATCGCAGAATGGGGCGCAAAACGTCACTCAGGATGGTGGTCTTTACAGCGACCCATTTTCGATAAGTTCACTGGGTCAAACTATGCCGCCTACGGGCCAATACAACCCATACGCAAATGACCCGAACAACTTGGCCGGTGCTGGGGGAGGATTATATCAGCCTGCAGGTTTTGGCAATGGGCTTGTCCATCCACCCAACTACCATCTCTACCAGCCGCCTTCCGAGCTGTATCGTCCAAGCCTTCAACCTTATCAGCGAACTACGTACGACTTCTTCATTCCGAAGGATAGGCGAGAGAACTTGCAGAAGAAACTGTTCCATATGCAGCAATTACTCCCAAGTGAGTCCACAACCTCTTTACTGGTGGTCGAATGCTAACCTGCCTAGATTCCGGGCTTCCAAATCTTGATCGCTGGCACTCGCTTTTCCCTCTCGATACAAAGGCTACAAGGAACTCCACTTGCTTTGGCTATCCTAGTTGGATGTACAAAGCACAGAACAACAAGAATGGGAGACACTTCGCCTTGAGACGTATCGAAGGTTACCGCCTGACCAACGAAAAGGCCATCCTCAACGTTACCAAGGAGTGGAAAAAGGTCATTAACGCAAATATCGTCACTATACACGAAGCATTTACGACCGAGTTCTTTGGCGACAGCTCACTGATCTTTGTTTATGACTTCCACCCTCTTTCGGAAACACTCTACGACCATCATTTTCCACCAAACCACGGCCATAACAGATTACGGAACACGAACAAGATCCCTGAAAACGTTTTATGGAGCTATGTGTGCCAAATAGCAAACGCGCTGTTGGCCATCCACAATGCCAAGCTGGCGGCCCGCTGTCTGGAGTTGAGCAAGATCATCTGGGAAAACAACCGCATTCGTCTTGCGGCGTGCTCAATCCTCGATGTCCTACATCATGACAGTCCCAACCGTAAAACGATTGAGGAGCTGCAACAAGAGGATTTTGTCAAGTTTGGTAGAATCATTCTTGCCCTGGCCACGAACACCCCGACGCTCAATTTCAACAACATTGATGCTGCTCTAGCTACCATGGCGCCGCGCTATTCGACACAATTGAAGGGAGTGCTGGAATGGCTCATCAAGCCTTCTGCTCCAGGGGAAACCAAGACGGTTGAGACTCTTCTTGGCGGAATGACGACACACCTCGCCAACTTTGCCAATTTTGTCATGCAGGAGTCAGATGAAAAGGAATTTCATCTTATGAGGGAGTTGGAAAATGGCAGGATTGCCCGTCTCATGTTCAAACTATCGGTCGTTAATGAGCGGGGCGATTCTTGTGGGGTGCACAGCTGGTCGGAAACCGGAGAGCGCCTCCTCCTAAAACTATTCAGGGATTATGTCTTCCACCAGGTGGATGCCGACGGAAAGGCTCGTCTCGACACGAATCATTACCTTAGTTGCTTGAGCAAGCTCGACGCCAGCTCCGAAGAACAGATCTTGCTCACCAGTCGCGACAATGCCACGGTTTTCGTGGTCAGCTACAGGAGCATACGACAGATGTTGGATCGTGCATATGGCGAGCTTGGCAAGGAAAGTAAACCGAGCACGACGGGGGCTACCATCTAGGACCCGGAGTCTTCCGACTGCCTCGTTCCGCCAAAGGCTCCGAGGCGTTTTCGGCCACATGCCAAAATCTTGGCCTCGGCCATGAACAGACTGAACGACAATAGGTATTCGATGTAGCAGCCCGATCAAAGCGAGAGCTCGACGTACCAGACAAGCGAAGAGGAGGTGTTGGGGAGAGGGGGGAATGAGACTAAGAGATGGGAAGTAGTTCAGCGATGAGCAGATCATATTAGACAGCGAACTAGAAAACAAACTCATAAAAAGTTTCCGAACCAGAGCAGGCTGTGGTCTGAAAACAACTGGCCTACATAGGTTCGCGGGCCTAGCTAACCGTCATCTTCTCAAGCTTTATAATTCCACTTGGAGGCGCTTGAGGTTTCCCGTCACTGCTGCTTCAACGATACCTCAAGCCAAGGGGCATTTTTGACGAGCCACTGTTGCCTTTTGACTTGATTCTCAATTCGTCTCGCTCATTTGATAGCGTTGTTGACAGGACGTCCACCATAAACCCAGGACAGCCAACAGGCAAATCTGTATGACTTCTTTATCCCCTTTTTTAAAGTCCCTCTGGTGGGTATCATTGATAGCCGGGCCCGACTTGGTTTCCTGTGTCTGATCACCCAGCTCAGCATGGCTCTCCCTTCTTGTGCCGTCCTCTATCGAGAGAAGTGGATATTGATGCCACAACTTTCGAGTTCTCGTCAGCGTACCAGGTTTCTGCCCTGGTGTTTCTCTTCCTCCCCTGCCCCGTTTTCTTTTCGTCAAGTCGTTATCTCGTCCGTCTCCGTTATCGTTCGATTTGCGAGGGTGACGGGTGGCGTTCAGATTTCATAGGTTGGTATGATGTTTTGAAGATGGTGCAGATTGTCTTTCTCCCTACGAGGATATCCTCTCCTCTCTGCTCAAGCTTCCTCCTCCTGCTGCGCGAAGGGGTTCGCAATCACCTCGCTTCCATCGACGGGGCTGATGACCACGAGGAGCGTGCCGCGCGCGACAACAAGGCCAAGGGGACGGGTGGTTTCGTTGCCTTCTTCGTCTGTTGGGCAATGGGGGTCAGTTACCAAGTCGGATCCAGAGAAAAAAAGATATGCGCTGGGGAGAAGGGGGACAGGCAACAACGAAACTTACCTCTAACAGCCTCCTGCACATCATCCAACACCAAGTTCATAAGCGCATCGTAACCCTTGAGTGTACCGGTAACTAATGCGTGTCGAAGGTCTAGTGTCAGCAGATAAGGACAAACAAAACGAGGCTATGCATTGCCTTGTAGGGAGCTTATAGGGCGCCGTGTTGAGAACCCATCGACCCAGAAACTATGACATGACGTACCTTCGCGTCCCCCGTTGAACTTGACGGTAATCCGCTGGTCCATGTACTTCTTGAGGTCGAGAATGTTTTCCTTCTTGGGCGCTCGCCGCCCCGCGGTCACCGCCCTGATGAGCACCCTGACCGCCACCGGCGCCGGAACCACCACCTTGTCCTCCACCACGGTTTCCTCCGCGACCGCCCCGGTAGCCGCCACCTCCACGGCCGGCCCTGTTTCCTCTGTCGGCCATTGTTTGTTTTGTTTGGTTGTGAAGTTGGCTTGGGGTATGCGCTTTGTTTTGCGCTGGTAGGTATGACGAAATTGAGCTCGAACTGTTCCGGGTTGTCGAGTGTCGGGAGTTTGTGCTGTTAAGGTTGGTAACGTCGTTCGGTACTGCAATTGTGGTTGTCGTCAGGCTGGAGCTATGGTGGTTGCGATGTCGTGGGGTTGGTCAGTTTGGGTCAGTCCAGTCTCGTTCCCGTCGCTTGCCTGAGTTTCTTCCACAGCTGTGCTTTGCCAAGCACCCCGCTGTGGGGCTGCCATACGGATGTAAGTGCGGGTAGTGTGGGTCCTATATTCCCCAGACTGGCGACGACGGGAGCCTTGACTCGCTGGATTGAGCTGAAGTGGCCCAAGCTCCGGTCCCTTTCAGACTCTCTTCAACTTCCATCAACCCAACATTGTTCTCTCTTCCACTTCAATTGCGACCTTGATTGGACCTTTCCGCCTTTTCCTGTTTTCCAATCTCTCTTCAGCCTTTCTTCATACCTCAGGTAACTTCACTGCTTTGCTCGGCAATGTGAGACAACGGGTGCCATGAGTACCGATATCGGTGCAGTAGAGGACCCTGAGGGCTTCGCAGACACAACCGACCTGCTGATCCACTACGCTTTCGTTCCATGATCGTCCTGGTGTTTTGTTTCTCTGTCTTCAAGCTCTTGCTATATCTACCGATTCCGTGGTATCAAGGGGCTTTGGTCTCCCAAGACAAATCTTGTCAGAGCCCATATATTAGTCACCGGCTACGGTTTCGAATGATCGTGGATGCTGAGGGAATCAGCTGGCCACGGTTCAGTTCTTGGTTCTCAGCAAAGGGGTAATAACTGCCAGCCTCATACCTTAACTGAAGTGCATCGCAGAAGCCGATACTGCATCCTACGATCCTGACTCTCAAAGTAGCAGCGCAGGAACTTGCCAAAGCTACATGAGTTCGTCCAAGACTGTCAGCGGCATGTGTGCCAAGAACCAAGAAGCACCGTCTTGGAAGTCCGGGGGCTTTGACGAAAACTCGATTTCTCTCGGCAACATCCGAGAGCCATTGAACCAAGTCGCAAGAGATATCCGCTCACCGGGCCAAGAGTATCCGATCGAGCTGGGTTCCATGTGACGAGATGCGATTGGAAGCTCATACCAAACTCCAAGCTTGCCCAAGGAATAAGACCGGCCTTCGTTTCGGGCCGCTCAAAGTCGGTGTTACTATTTCATTGTCGGACCCTTTAACGACGACTTGGCCCCTCTATCCACTGACTAGAACTATTCCTGACTCGTTCCCCGACATGTTATCGAACCCAGAACACAAGGGAAGAACATCCTCATTTACCTCCCGATCTGCTCTCGACATCTGATCCTCATTTATCTCGGTACGAACCGGCGGCGGCAACTTCGGATTCCTTCGACAGGTTGCATCGCGCATAGTTCTGTACGCACTTGGCCTCCATGCCGCCACTCCCTACAGGTAGACAGGCACAATACACTACAGAAGTTCACCGCAGTTTTGCCCTGTTTATGCGGGGCAGCCCCCGAGTCTGCCCTGCTACGGCCAGGCCCTCATTTCGAACTTCGATTCGGATAGTCTTCGGATCAAGACAAAACCCGGTGTATAACGTCCACTTAGACCGTACTACCAGGGAATTACTCAACCCACGTTGTCCAGTCAAAGCAGTCTCTCCTTTGCTTGGTTCTGCTGTGACGCTGCAGGATGCCGGCAGGCTTACACAACAAGACACCGGGGGATGTCCCCCCTGGGCCCGGCTCCTCTAAGCGCAAGAGAGACCTAGACGACAACGGCATCCCCAGCCTGACTCGCCCTGATCGCATACCCCAACCACGGCCACCACAGTCAGGTATGTTGTAGCTTGAAGAGGACCAGTAAGCAAACGAGTCAACAGTTGGGCGTGAATGGGGGATGAATTGGGTCCTAAAACTCCAAATCAATTCCCTGTTGCCTTGCTGATTATTGCTAGGTAATACTGCACCCATCAACTACCTTTTTGCTTCCGGAACCAAGACATCAAGCCTCAGCCTCCTTCGTGGGGATAACAGCGTCTTCAACGAGGTCATATCCCTCATCAACGACTATGAAGGTATGAAGAGAACTTTGCTGTACAGGCTCCGAAGCTAAAATTATCCAAGGAGTCCTCGGCCGAAATGAAAGCCTTGCCGCCAACTTAGGGGCTAAGCTTACCGCACCTCGTCTACTAGGAGCTATGGAGAGTCTTTTTGAAGGAGAAATCAAAGTTTATCCTAAGAATCCTTCTGGAGCGGATCAGCCCTATAAGCCTAGCTGGTTGGACATCCTCGAGTTTGCGGCTTCGAACCCTGACGATTTCAATCTCACCACACTAAACGGTGTTGGTCAGGTTTGTCGTTTCTCTATGAAGAACGTTGATGTGCAAATCAGCTGGGATGACTGGCGACTTATCAGGTCCGGTGCCTTGGACCGTTTCAGCCTAGTTCCGCCCAAACCGTTGGAAGAGGATGAAAGAATCGAGTTGACCACGCTAGATATTATCGAGGATCGAGTTTACAGCATCATCCAGAAGGCTGATGAGATAGCTCGTAAAGCGCGACAACTGAACTACCACCTGAGCGGCCGCAAAGCTGCTATTACAGCTCGCTACACATTACAGCACGCTTCGGAATTGGACCAGCCCCCGGCGCGCCACAGAGAGCTGAAGCCTGATCCTGATCTCCGGGCTCACGTACTGCAGCAGTTTCTCTCTCAAGCTTCCCGGCAAGCTTACGAACAAGCCGCGATTCCTAATACAGGAAAATCTAGCTTAAGTCCCCCTTTGGCATTGCCTTCTAGTCATTCACAGTCGCATCTCCCGCGGGTGGCTACCACCCGGTCACTACCAACGGCTGTTCCTCTCCAGCCATTACCACTCGTTGGTACCTCCCAGTCACTAAACTTAAAAGCCTCAGATGTACAAATGCCGACGCCGCCTGGAACATTCTCGGACCCCCTTCAGCAACGTACTGGTTCGAGCCGTACAGAAAGCACGGCACCGCAAGATCCACCGTGGCGGCTATTCGAAGAGACATCCAGTGCTTTGGAATGCTTAGCGGATACATCCAGTGGTTAGGAACACTGAACCGCTGCAAGCCAATCCTTCGTGGGAGCTTTAGAGAAACTTGATGGTGGAGCATCGATCAACCGTCCTTGTGAGCGCTGCTGGCAGCAACGGGTATCATGTGTCTTTTACAAGAACGGCAGCTGTAAAAGGTGCTTCGACAACCGCATACACTGTGAGTGGCATACAACGACGCAAAATGGGCTTTTGGGTGTGCTCGGGGCAAAGATGTCACACAAGGACAGCCCTGGAAGAGCAACGGAGGCGGCGGGAGCTGGTCAAAGTATCTCAAAATGCTCTCCCACGAAGACGGCAGAGACGAATGTGCTCGTCACTGGGCATCGTTCCAACAATGGGCCTTCTGAGCGGGCACGTGATGTGGATACGCATGAGAGAACGCCACCAGAAGCAGCTGCAGAGGATGACAGGTATGGAATCCGACGGGGTTCCGATCAAGGTTCTCCTATGAGAGAGAAAAGGCAACGGACAGGGAACACATCACTAGCGGCGCCTGAAATCATCGGGCAGGCGAGCTCGAGTAAATGAGCAGCAGCAGCCGGGTATACAGAAGTCGCTGCTCGCGTGGCCAGTTGCACTGGAGTACCAAACGAGAGGGTATTATGTAGTTCATAAGTGAATTTCCGAGGAGTGAGAGAAGGATATCATGTAAAGGGGGTAACCTAGGTACATATCGAGAAGGCCAGTGGCTTCTTCAGCCACTCAAAGGATCGAGAGCTACAAGTTAAGGATATATATACACTCAGTACTCTTATTTGGTACTAATAACAAGTCACAACATATCGCAAGACTGTCACATATTCTTGCTTGGAGGATAAACTACCATTCCTCACCGTCTGGATTGCTATCTGAACCCCAGAAATGCGATCTTTGCTAGTTAACACGTCAAGAACATGACCTACATGCACTTGATCCAGTTCGATATCCCTGTATATCTATTCTCCTTCAGTTCCCGTGCTGCTAGCCAGCTAGATATCCAGTGTCCCTTCGCGTTCCTCCGTTGGTCTTCAAACCAAGAGTCCAGTCTCATTCGAGTTCCTGATATCCAAGTCACTCTGTCCGTCCATAAGTCGAGCCAAATTCCAAGATAACCTAACCATAAAGATATTAACACAACCAGCATAGAGATACCCTCCTTTCTTTCCTTCTGGAACATGCAGTTATAGGTAAGGTAATCATCACCTTCAGCATCAACACCATCACACAAATCCAGGCCAGTAGAGCCAGAAACCACTATCCAGTTTATATCTCTTCCTCTCTGGCTTTCCCTTTCCCTTTCCCTTTCCCTTTCCCATTTGCCCTCCTTTCCCCTCTCCTCACTCTCTGTCAATAACCCTCCAGTAACCAACCCTCCCTCCAGGACCCGTTCACTGCAACCGCCCCCAATACCTAGCAGCCTGTACCTGAAACCGTTCCTCCATGCCCAGACACCGCATCAAGATGGCGATGCGGATCTGCTCGTCCCGCTCGTTGTTCGAGGGCGTGTAGAGTGTTGAGGAGCGGGAGCGGGTGATGAATTCGTTGAGGGCTGTTTTGTCTTCGTCTTTGTTGTTTTGGTTGGGGTTGGTTTCGGCTGATGCTGATGACGACGTTGAAGATACTGATGATGAAGTTGATGATGAAGTTGATGAATGTTTGTGTTGTTGATGGGGTTGGCCTAGTTGGGATTCTTTTTGTTCTGGCACTGAGTCTTCTTGAGCTTCATGATGATCTGGGGCTCGACCTGATGAGACTAGTAGTTCTGGGTCTTGGTCGTGGACCTTTTGCTGATCATTTTGTTCATGTTGGTCATCGGCGGAAGACGGCTTGTGTTCATGATCATGATCAGGTGACCCGGGAGGGGAACAGGGTGGTGAATGGGGATCGTGATGCTGATGATTGGAATTCTGTTGGGACGGAGGAGTGACGGTCGTGCTTGATTCGAGCGAAGCTCGAGGAGTCAGTGATATGTTCGTCATGATCCCCGTCGTGTTATCCCCAGATGAATAAGCGGTGTTTGCGGTGGAGGTTTCGTCGGCGCTTGAAGCAGGCATCTCTGAAGGTTTCATGTAGTCTAATGCAGGATGTAGCCGTGCGGGAGGTGGCTGGTCTGCTGGCTGCTGGTGCCCCTCTATCGATATGTCAGGGAGTCGGGTAACTGGGTGGCGGAGCACCGAGCGTACGGCTGTTTCCTATTGTTTTACTTTGTTGACTTGAGGTTATCACTGCAGTCGTTTCGGAAGTCACTTGGGAATTGCCAATGGTGTTGTGGATTCCTTGAGGTTGTCCACCCGTCAGTGATCAGTGTCTGTCTCGCAGGTGGTCCGTCCGCTCCAGAACTTTGACCTCCCATCTCGAGATTTTACTAAATTTTCGAGTCATTGAAGCAAAGGGCAAACATCGATGAATTACTCACGGCTCGGTTAGCATTGCATCGTCGACATATATACACGTGTAAGTAGCGAAGGCAAGGGTAGAGTATAGAGGGCTGGAACTCGGAAATTGATAGGGCTGACACAGCCCACCAAAGTTCCCACACTCAACTTGTCTCCTCGTTGTTTACCTATCTAGGGATGGACATTGATGATAATCTGCATCTACATTTGAGACTTGAATGTAGCGTCATTCCCAAACCGATTGTCATGGGGGGGTGGGATGGCGGCGTCGTGGGGCCGAACTTTGAGTGGCAATGGGGTTTGTGACATGTCCCAACCAAAATCTTGCAACGAACCCGAGATCTGATCGAAATCATCATTGGTACCAAAACACAGCCGGAAAATCTTTATCATCATATCTTTCTCTCAAGGCCCCTTGGGTACGAATCTTCTCGGTATAATAGCTCGCCACCAAGACATGGAGTCCACTCGCGCTACCGGTCAAGCTAAAGAGCAAATGATCCAAGATATTTTCCGCCTTACGCCGTGCTTGTCCAAGTTCCATCATAGGGTAACAGGCGAAATTATTCCCTTCTTCGTGTTTGCCTAACTTTCGCTTTGATTCCCTTTGGGAGGGCCGTCGCAGGACGAGATGGGGCGTGATTGCCTCAAGCTGCACAGGAAGGTAGGACACGACACCAATCAACACACGATGGCCAAACCACCAAACTACGACACTACGACGTGGGGCGCTGAATCCCTCAAATTATGACTATAGCATGTTCCCTTGCGTTGATACGTATCAGTAGTTGGCTCGGCGCAAAGGTTGGGTCGTTGGAGCTGAAGCTTGCATCTACCCACCTATCTCTGAATTCTGATACCTCGCCCTCGGCTCTAGGGCCGACACTAGCAGATATCAAAGTGATCCTGTCTCCAGCTCTGGCAATGCCAATATAACTCGTATCTTCCTTGATGAAGGGGAAAGCAGTGAAGCATGGTGCACGATGGACGTGGCGTGTATGGCCGAGGAGTGAACATCAGTAGGCCGGAAGATCATGTAATCCTCGGGTGGCACCAAAATGCCTGCAGTCGAGTATACCGGTTCCGAAGCAGGAACCTAGGCCGTCAGCCAGCCTGTTGTAGGAGGCCGTGGTATTTACAAAACAGAAAGGGAGTGGGCATGGTTGTGGACTTGGTAGTGAATGGCGACGAGGTAATGGTCGCTCTGTGGGATGGCGGGCTTTCATCAAGTGATGATCACGAAAGTCCGGAACTGGCCTGGATGATCAGCTGCGAGATGCTCCAAGGCCCCCAACATTGGTCTATCCTAACGGAAAGTGCATCAAGGCATCTCTTGTTCTCACGCAAAAGGTGGACTGGAGTGTTGGGAGTACTGTGCGTGTGTGTTGGAGCGGGCCGTTGTCCAAACACTCGCTCATAGCTTACTCCAGCTTGGGGTTAAGAGCCCCAGCCCAGCCTCCCCAGTCTCGAATAAATATCTTTGTCGGTCCCAACCAACGTCCCCTTTTCCCTCACGCAACCCGTGCAACCGCCATTTCCACTCTCTCTTCGCCAGAACATCACACATTTCTCGGTGCGCGCACAACCACTCGACCACATCGGTCCATCCGTCGACCAGAGTCCAGCCAGGTCTCAATCCAGGCACGCCCAGAGCATCAAGGAATATCCATCCGCATCGCTGCTGTCTGCTTCCGCATTTGCCCGCGCCCCCCTTTCGAGTGTCTTGTCAGCTATCTGGCTGGAACGTGGACTTTGCACCTATTTGGTGAGTGTACAAACTACCCCTGGCGTTCTCCGTCAAGGGCATTCACACGTTCCAATCCTCCCTCCTTTCTCCTCCTCCACTCGACTTGCCTATTTCGCGCTCGCTACCACTCCGGGTCTCGCTCCGCGTGTCCGTTCGCGCCTCACATCCTTTTGTTCAGCCTTTTTACTTCCTTCACTTGTTTCAACCATCAAACCCCCTCCTTGACTTTTGCTGCCGGTCGGGAATGCGATTGTCAACAACATAACCTATCAAGCAACATCTCTATATTCTGCACCACTTATTTGCATCCCCACCACCCCGGCATTCTCGAGATATCTACCATTTACACCGCAGCGTTTTCATGCCCCGTTGCCGTCTTCAAATTTTCCCATTCCCACTTCAACAACAACTTAACAACAACAACCGGCAACACGACTGCTAACCGCCATTGCACTTTTTGCTTAACGCGCAGATCTCTCTTCAGCGACACATTACATTCACATTTCGGTTCTTCAGTCAATCCGAACCTACCTATGCACCACTTGGACCGTTTGTTTCTCTTGCCTGTCTGTTGCTCGTTTTTCGAAGAAACCGCCTCGTCCCAAATCACAGAGTAAAAAGGACAACCAGCCATTGCACCGCGTCGGCTCGTGCTCCTGCATCTGCGCCAGTTGGTTGACCTTTTGCTGCGTGGGCCTCCCTCACCGTTGGGCCAAGCAATCTCACCGTGGAGCCGGTCGAGTTTGCCACGCGCCCGCCGCGCTCCGCATCTCCAACTACTAGGTACCACTTCCGGACAACAGTAGCGTCGGGTAACTTTTTCTGTTACCACATCACCCGGCAGCCCAAGGCTCACTCACTTGGCGCGTTGGTCGCCTCGCGAAACCGCGGCAATGGCGGCAATCGTGGCGATTGCTGAGCTGGCCCGGGGGCTTCTCAGTTCCGATTCCAGCTTTGTGAGCGCTGTGAGCGCGCCTACCGATGCCTCCATCGAGGCCTCTTCCGATGCACCGGCTTCGGTGACCTCGACACCGCCAACCACCGTCTCGCCGGATAACATGTCGCAGATCTCCGACGCCGATGTTAGTGGCAAACCAGATACCGTTTCCGTACCCGGTCTAGAGAGCGACATCCCTTTACTAGAGGACGAAGAACAAAACGAGGCTCACCAACAGTTGCAACAAGAACAACAAGGGGCTGGCCAAGGGATAACAGAGGCCCAACCAGACGCCGTTGTTGCGGTTCCCCAACAACCCGCGGAGCCCTCATTACCCGACCAACAACCCGGTCCTGACACAAAAAGTCGACCGCGCCGTGCACGAGGCAACAACGCCCCCGTATACAACCTTGCGAGATTGACCGGCACCTATGTGCATGGCAAACGCGCCTCGAAAGGTGACATTGTTCTCCAGAAAAAGCGGAAACCGAAAGGCAGAAAGCTACAGGCTCTACTAGCCCAGCAGGCTCTCGAAGCTGAGCAGGCCGCTCAAGCCGCGCTGCTGCTAGCCTTTCAGGGCAAAACTCCTGCAGAGCCTGCCGCAAACATCCCATCTGTTGAACCAGCCAACCAGGAAACCGACAAGCCCGACTCGAACGCGCCCGTAGACGCGCCCGCGATCCCGCCTGTCCACGCGCCCGTAGCCCCCGAGACCACGATCACCGAGCCCACGATCTCCGAGTCCACGATTCCCGAGTCCACGATTCCCGAGCCCCCGATCGCCGAGCCCACGATCTCCGAGCCCACGATTCCCGAGCCCACGATTCTCGAGCCCACGATCGCCGAGCCCATAATTCCGGAACCCACGATCGCCGAACCAACGATTCCGGAATCCACGATCCCTGAGCCCGAGATCCCCAAAGTCGCTGCTAGTCCCGACCAGCATGGCGCCGCTCAACCACCCGACGCTCCAGCCGACGAAAGTCGCGTGGATCACGAGAGTCTCGACGCGTCGATGGATGAAGCGCCGCTTGAATTCCCTACAGATACCGTCGAACTGAGCACGACGACAGACGCCGATACCGCGCAAACCATCCACCCCTACATCAGCGACACGCTGGCTCCCGCCCTACCAGCCGATGTTCCCAACCATATTCCTCCTATCGCGCCCAGCGCAACCACAAAGCCTAGCACAAGGGGAGCCAAGGCAACCAATAAGGACGTTGTCAAGAGGCCTGTTGGGAGACCAAGGAAAAGCACGGCGACAAATGCAGGCAAAGCAACCAGGAGAGCCATGGCCAAAACAGCCAAGACCAGGACCGCCACCGCCGAGGAAGCCCAACTTGATGTCGAGAAAGAAGCGGAGCCAAGCAGCACCGAAGACGGACAAACAGGCACATGGGAAGATGTCCCAGAAGAAACAAATGGAGATGTACAAACAAGCCCAGCCAAACGAGTCAAAGCAGTCAAAGCGAAGGGAGTCAAAACAGCCAAAGGCAAGGTAACGAAAGCTGGGACGATCAAAGCCTCCGCCGTCGTCCCTGCTACGCGCAGAGCGACGCGTCATTCGGGTGTCCCCGTTGAAGACCCTCTCTTTTCATTGATACCACCGGCACCGCCACTGGGCAAAAAGACCAAGAAGACTGCCGAGCCTGCTTTAACTCGTGTTCCACGCGAGCTGAAGCGCTTACGAGATACGAACGAATTCGTTGGCATCGACACCCGTCCAATTCGGTACTCTGTTTGGAGCAACGGAAAGTACATCGAGGTAACCGAGGACAGTGAGCCCACTGCACCAGCAAAGAAGAAGGCCAGGGTTGAGAGCAGCACAGCCACAGTACGCGAAGAGAAGAAGGAGAAGATGGTGGAACCGGAGGCTCCGATAAACACCGAATCTTCTCGTCCAGTTGTCCAGCAAAAGCGCGTAAAGAAGTGGCTCAATAAGGGTCTCTACGCTGGCCAGCAGGCGCCTGAGGACGTCAGAGAAAGCCTCACTAAGCAAGAGAGGAAGAAGCTCCTGGCTATCCCAGAACTCGCAAAGAGTAGCCCGCCGAATAACGTCCTTCCACTACCAATCTTCAACGGACTACGGCTGCTCATCACAGGTCGTGATTTCAAGCTACCGTTTGATGTCTGCCATCCATTACCTCCTGGACAGCCCAAGCCCGCCGCATACCGCACCATGACAAAGAGTGAGTATACTGTGAGATGGGAACGTCTGATTCTAATATATGGCATCGACAGCTAACACATCAATGCTTATCTAGACCGTTTCATCGGCCAGGCCGCGGCAATTTGGAAGAAGACTCCTCACTTTGAGGATTTTGCTTCCAAGTGTGTATGTACGCCTGAAGACGGATGCGCACAAGACTGCCAGAATCGGGTCATGCTGTACGAGTGTGATGAGACAAACTGCAACGTCGGCAAAGAGTTCTGCCAAAACCGAGCTTTCCAGATGCTCACAGAAAGAACCAAGCAAGGAGGTCGTTACCGCGTAGGTGTTGAGGTCTTCAAGACCGAAGACAGAGGATATGGTGTGCGTAGCAACCGCTGCTTTGAACCCCACCAGATCATTATGGAGTACACAGGCGAGATCATTACCGATGAGGAGTGTGAACGTCGAATGAATGAGGAGTACAAGAACAACGAGGTGAGTCTCTCCAGGGATTGTTCTATCATTGCCCGCAAAGCTCCCATTACTGACATTTATCATAGTGCTACTACCTCATGTCATTCGACCAAAACATGATCATTGACGCAACTACCGGTAGTATCGCGCGGTTCGTCAATCATTCATGCTCCCCTAACTGTCGCATGATCAAATGGATCGTCTCTGGGCAGCCGAGAATGGCGCTTTTTGCGGGTGACCGCCCCATCCAAACTGGCGAGGAGCTAACGTACGACTACAACTTTGACCCCTTCTCCGCTAAGAACGTGCAGAAGTGTTTGTGCGGTGCGCCCAACTGCCGAGGCGTCCTTGGGCCCAAACCCAAGGAAGTGAAGCCGCCCAAGCCTCCGAAGGCAGAGGGTAAGGGCAAGAAAAAGGCTGTGAAAAGGAAGCTTCAAGAGCTCCTAGCCAATAGGGTGATTGTAGAGGGCGATGAAAAGTCACCGAAGAAATTGAAGGTCGCCAAGTCGACCGAAGATACGGCAAAGGGAGCTGCAACATTTTTGTCGCGAAAGGTCTCTAAGGTGTCTGTTAGCGCCAAGTCCAAGGCCGCTTCGGCAAAGACCATCAAGACATTCGCCCGGAAGGTCAGCATTGCGTCGACGAAGGTTGTCAAATCTTTTTCGAAGGGTGCCGCGGCGAAGAGCAAGATGATCACGCTGAAAGCTCCGACAAGGGGTTCTAACTTGACCATAGTCGCAGCTGATTCAGGCGGCTCGATCACAGCGGCAGGAACGACGGAGGCTGAGGAGGAGGTAGGAAACAAAGCTTCCAGGGCAGCCAGGGCAACTCCCAAGAACACGCCCAGGGCTAAGAAGACGGCAGACGCTGTTCAGGAAACGCCTGCTGCTGCAGAAGATGACGGCGGCTCAGTTTTCGATGTACCGTCGTCTTCGTCCGCGAGGAAACGCGCCCCTTCCTGGAAAGTGCGCGACTCTGGCGTTAAGAACGTATCGTCTCTTTTTAAGAAAGCAAGGAAATCACCAGTCAAGAGCAAGGACACTGCCAGTCCAGCGGCCACGTCTACGGCAGTCACCAAGGTCGTTAAAACGCGCAAGGCTAGCACGTCGGCAAAGGTCACAAAACCGGGCAAGGCGATGCCGAAGCTGACTGTCGCCATGAAGACGGGCAAGTCCGTAACCAAGACCACGGCATCAAAATCTGGCAAGGGATCGGTCAGCACTAAGAGTGCGACTAAGATTCGCCTCGTTAGCAAGCCGGCCGATGGCCAGGACGAAAATGCCGCTCCCGAGCAGGTCGAGGCCTAATGGCGAGGGTATCATGCTGGACAACCAGCACATTGTACACTCCTCGATTCGGATGTGATAACTGGGCATTTGATGTCATTGGGGGGATGGAGTGTAAGATTCAAGGACATTTCAGGCTTCGGGGAGTGTGGCTAAAGAAACAGGAGTTGTGAGTTTTGGCTTGGTTACCTGGCTCTGATTTTCTTTTTGTGGTATCTCTAGGACTGGTATCTTTTGGCCCTCCTCGTAGTCATAAAACGGGCGTTTCAGGCTTGTATATGATCAGCTTTATCTTTTCACGATCCGCTTCTCCTCCCGACAATCGCTCGGCGCTTCCAGATTACATCTTCTGCCCCGGGGGCTTTTGGCTTACATTGAGAAAGGACGCTGAGCTAAAGGTCACATATGTACGGGACAGATGAAGCGGATACACCATTTATTCGTCTACCTTACAACCACATTTTAGAAACCAACTCAGGCAACAATCAAACAGCAGGTTTCTTTTATGACAAGATCATTTCGGTAATTTTCGTTGAGAGGACGATAGCCGCGTTGGTACACCAACTTAATACACATGTGCTGTGAAAGAATATGATACGAAACACGACGTCGATCTCCCGCACCTCTCAGCCTCTCAGTCATGCAACTCCGCGGTCTTTCATGTGATGGATTAGCGGTTGCCAACACTGCTACATCCGCGTATGTACACAGGACAGGCGAGTAACAGGCTGGGAGAGCCGGACAAAGTAAAAGTTACAAAAACATGCTTCGTAAAGTTTCAAAAGCCAATATTGGCCGTCAAGTCCAGTAGCAGCATCAAACATCCAGATCGTGCAAGCTTACCATTTCCACCTGAAAATCATGATAATCGGCCCGGACGGAATGGCATTTGCTTCGTGGCTTGATATCATCTGCTCCAAAACCCCATACCTGTCAATCATGGATATTGCGGATCATAGTCCTGATATTTCGAGCCTCAATGGATCCGAGATCGCTACTGGCTGCGGTTGCGCTGCTAAACATTACACAAAATTACCGGGCTTTCGGTGAGGGATCTCACGGCCACTAAAATCGCGGTGTAATTTACCACACGTTGAGTTTCTCGATTTCCTGACTGGAAATTCGAAACCTCACCGGCGATCGGGTGGGACTTCTCGCTTGTGTCCGCAATCCACTTCACATTCCATCCAATGAAAAGCTGTCATGTTGGGTCAGGCCCACCCAGTGTCCGTTCCGCTGCCCAAGTCCCGATCCCGTCACGGTAAACTCCACAAATCAAAGATCCACATTGACTTCAATTGCTTCCGAAGACAAAACATCACCCCGCCGTGCCCGCATGCCCGCTTTCCCATTCTATCATCCCGCGTCTACAATCGTGGTAAACTCTATTTTTTCATCTTTGCAACGTCGTCTCCTGTCTTCATGACGTCTTGGCAATGTTGCTGTTGTCCTCACCTCACTCGTCCGGACATGGCCGATTGGGCTTGCTTGATGGATGATCAGGCACATTGGCACGTTGGGGTTCTACTAGCTACCAGCCTCAGCAGCTCAGCTTGACGACCTGTGCCGAATCGAGTTTTCTCTTTTCCATGAATTTTTTCCCGTTTTTCTCCGCTCAGCCAGCAGGCAGGGTGGAATACGATTGGACACTCCCGATGCCATCCTACACATCATGTATCAACCACCACCTTCAGCTCCTAGCTGCTCCCCCCTCAATTCCCTTCCCTTCCCGTCCCCGCAAACCCCCGCATCAACACCGCGGAGAAAGACATAAAAAGGCTTGAGCAAGGCTACTAATCAGATTCCGCAGAACCTCCCGCCTCGGGACCTCAGCCCTCGCGCGCCTAATCCTCCCACACCTTTCAGTGCTGCCACAACCAGGATCTCACCTTCGAAATATGCAAATGCAAAAGGATCGGCGGCTTTCCGCTTTGGAAGCCCCTTCTGGGGAACGTTATCTTTCTCGGCACGTCATCGAGCAGCCCGGGTAGACCTACCTCGGCACCGCCGAAACCAGCAACTCCGAGACAGGGACCCAAAAAGATGTGTCGACAACCTCATCTGGTGTTGGGTAAACGACCAGCCTACTAGATGTCACTGGACGTTGCCGCTGCACGCTACTGGCAAATCAGCCAGTTTATCTCTCTGCTGGGCCGGCTGACCGGTTTTGTCGTCATCATCGTTGCGGACGTCAACAGTCCAACACCCATCCCGTCCCTCGGTCATCGCCTTGCAAGCCACCACGCTGTCAGTCGTCACTATCACCAGCATGGCTCGCCGGCATGACGCCGGTGCCAAGAGACCGACAGCCTCTCTCCCCAGGTTTTCTAAACTCCACGGCCTCACCGTTGCCCAAAAGTCGCAAAAGATACCAGGCATTGCAGCCCCCCGGCGAGAAATGTGTCATGAATATCTACCTATTGCCGCGTTGCCGCGTTCCGCGCGGGCGACGCCGCCAGGCGCCTGCCAGCCTCACGGCACTTGGAAAGGTGTGGTATGATGAGGCTTTTCCCTACGCTACAGTACCTTACCCTACTTCGGCCCTCCTTCCAGCCCTCTCCTTGCACACGAACGCTCGGTATCTGAATTGGGTGGAAAGAAATGCATATGTTGACCTTTCTTGGCATTCAATATGCTCAGTCCAACCCAGCCTCTTTCTCATGTCAAATGGGAATGTGAGATGATAAGGTATTAGCGTTGGCGGCACCAGCGGTTTCAAAAAATCGAGACCAGGCCGTTGAGAAAAAGACCCGAGGGACGGCCGGACGGTTTTGAAGACATTGAACTACATACTTAGGTTCCTACCTGTTTGGATAGGTAGGTAGAGACATCTGAGGGAAGGCGTAGTTCAACCTTTGCTGGAAAGGAAGTTCTCGCCCTTGTGGCACTGGTACATTTGCGAACACAGTAGCTAGCTCTGGGTTTTGATGAAACTTAAGGTATGGGCTTCTTTCAGTGCAATTTGCAGTCTTCACCCACACAACTTACCGATGACTCCGCGGCCGTTGCATTACATTTCACCTACATAATGCGGTAAGAAGGCCTAGAGCACTTACACAGACCAGGTCAAGTTCATGAAGTGGTCCCCCACGATGAAGTTTGATGGTAGGGTATGTCTAGCTGTCACTTAGTGGAAGGGGCGAAAAATGGAGATGTGTCTCATGCTATCGAGAAACAAGCGCGGGGAAGCGGGCTTGAGTGGTGTGGGGGGAGAGATGTTGTGCTGCGCCGCTATCATAAGGTATGTAACGGTGCGTAGTTTGGGTGAGATAGGCAAGTAAGTGTCACTTCAAACCTGAAGCACGAATGGATGGGATGGGAGTGATTTTCTTCTTCAGGTATGTATACAAAATTCGAGGTTTCAGTCCATCAGAAATATCTTCCGAAGTTACTTCGAGCACGAGCTGTCTCTTTCTAGGTGGTTGGGTAAGGTGTCAAGGTTCTAGACTAGATAATCAACGATGAACGTAAGTGTACCCTAGGTACCCAAGTGGATGTAACCAGGTTCAAATCGGTGGCTTTAGCCCACCTATAGGCTTCTTTTCAGCCTCTCATGCTCATGATCAATGGGCTAGACACTGAAATTTTGAGCGATGATTCCTGAGTGTCTGTTATTGGTTGGACACAATCATTCAAACTTCAAAGGCTCAAATGGGTTTGGAGTGTTGATGGCTTGCAGGCCTCCTCCCCCTCCTTCCAGTTTGTCCGGCTTTGGACTTCAGTCCGGTGAAGTTTTCGAGGCTGTATATTTCTTTGCTTTTTCACATTTCTTTTTCCCAGGTTCATACCGTGGAGGTTGAGTGAAGAAGTTCACTCCCCTCAAGATGCTCTGCATCTTGCGTGGTTAGTTACATGGGCAGTAAGCAGATGGACTTAGGGTCTGGTGTCAGTACCTAGAGGTAGGTACTATGCAATGTCCTGCAGGTTGTAAGGTGTGGTACCCCAACATTGATGACAGCGGTGATGATGTGCGTGTAACACCGCTGTAGCCCAAAGATTGGCGCGCTAGGTAGGCTTGACACTGCCGTCCTGTGAAGTACCTGTGCAAGTGGCTGCTAGCACTGAATCAATGGTGATCCAGAGCGTGATGGTGGGTTTCATTCATGCTGCGACACACCCTGTGATGGTCCCCTAGAATAATGTGTCACTCCGGGTGAGCCGCATGCACAACACCTAGCAAAGTGTGAAGCATGCATGTCATGTAAATGGCTGTCTCAGTTGCTCTGCGGGATGGAGATACCTACCAACCTGCATGCTCGGTCGTTAACAGTTTGGATAGCTCTAATTCAGGGTATTGGATAATCTTTCGGGCCGGTGAGGGTGTGGTGAAGCAGCGAATATCTGGATTAAACAAGGAGAACAGCTCCAGAGGGAACTGAGACGTCGGTATGACTTTTCGTTTAGATACTTTGCTCTCGAGGTGAGAGCATCTAAGTATGGTCAGAGGGCAGTGCACATCTAGAACCACAAAAGAATATCTGAACTACCAATCAGCGAACTTCCAATTGAAGGTTCCGAATGTAGTCAGATTTTGAAGATCAATACACTAGATAACCTTCATGGGTGACAAGAATCTCACTGCATGTAGAGTGTAGGCCACTTCCGCGATCAACGACGGTTGTATTTTTATATGAAAGTCTGAAACGACTGCGAATAGCTAACCAAAGAGTGTAAATAACCCAAAACGACAGAAGAAGCAGTTCCAACCTCAGCTCTGTGACTCTCTTTTCCCTAGGCCTGAGCCACCGTTTATCTGTCCTGTTCCAGCATGCTGCCGTGTATCCCATTCGCCGAAGTCCTCCTATAGTAACCCCCAAAGACCTGCCTTAGTGTCAACAAAGGAAATCTAAAGTCATAACACAAGTTATAGAAGATGGTGTAAGAGAGTGTCCAACTGATGGTGTATCCTCGTGTATTCCCTCCTCACAGTATCACTATTCATTCGCAGGTGTCGTTCGTCTTCGCGAGCCATATAAATGTAGCTCAGTTGGATGCTTATCTGCCAGAGGCGACAGAGGTCGTGGTGACCCTGCAATATTTGCAGCGCCGATGCTGGCAGTTGGGGCAGCAGGCGTCGATGTTAATGTTGTTGGGCCCAAAGTTGCAGTTGTTCTACGTGAATAACAAGTAGTTAGAAGCTTGTATCTCCCGGACAGACTGAGTAGGGGTCACTAAGTACATACGCAGTACCAAGTAGAAGAAGTAGTATATGTCCTGGAACCTGACCCCGAAGAACCATCCTTCTTGCCTCCAGAGGAGCCGGAGGTCTCGCGGGGAGAAGAGCTCGAGTGTTTGGCCATGTTGCCGACAAGTGATAGTTGAGTGGATGTGAAGTTGGAAGCCGATGTCTTGAAAGGAGTAAGTTGTGAGTGGTTTGGGTATATCAAGAAGACTCAGGTGTCGATTGTACTTGAAATTGGTGCTAGAAGTTGCTTGACTGTCTTATGGATTTGGAAAGATAACAATGGAGGATTGCGATGATGAAAATGATGGATATAAAAACACTGACATGAGAAAAGAGTGGTACTAATAATCTTATACCTCATCCATGGCTCACACCTTTGCAAAGATACTGATACCGAAACATCCACATGGAATTCTCAATGCCTCATCGCCAACTAAGCCATGCTCCTGTTCAACCTCAAAGACTCCTGGACCATTGAGAGAAGGGCACTGGTGCGCCTTGCGCTGAGAATTTTCCATGGTGGGTATGCCCAAGGAGGCCACTGACATTTGGGGTTCAAACTCCGCAGTATACATCCTCTAGTGGCCTCAGATTATACAAGGACAACACCGAAAACCATTGGCAGTGCGACTTCGGTGATTAGTCTCCACTCCTAGCTCTGCCACTTCCTCATGAGTAGGGACTCATCATGGTAGAATGCCTATCCGTCATTCCATGGAAAAATTTCTTGTTTGAATCCACCGGATTGGAAGATCGATCGGTGAGTGTTGAGCCATCGTTAGGCTTGAACGGGACAGTTCTCGGTCAGCATCCTTGATCTTTAGGCGAAGCAAGGAAAAGCAAACAGTGACGGTTGTGTGAAGGCGTAGAGCCGTAGACAACAGGCGGGCGAGTAACTCCTGGTTGTAAGGCAAAGGTGTTGAGCCCGTCTGTCCCAAACAGGTATAGTCGTAGGTTTTTTCCAAAGTGGAAGCTAAACTGCCCTTCCCACCGAGACGGGAGTTGTTTGATGTTCGACTACGAGCTCAGGCACTCGGAAAGTAAACATCCTTCGGTCCTCGATTGTCCTTCAGGCTGGCTCTCGGGGTCGCCGTCGTCGGATACATGTCGGTGGAAGTGATGTGATGGAGTTCTTGGCTTGTTATTGAGACAAACCCTGTTCGAGTTTAGTAAAGTGCGTTGTATTGATCTATTTGGCCTGCGTGGGTAGAGCAACAGCCGGAAATGCAGACACTACACGTGAGAGGCTTCTGCATGCGGCTCTATCCACGTGGGAGGTACATACACTGATAATTGTAGTCCTAAGCTGGGGCTCTACTCGGTACGACCTACTGCATGGAATTACACAGGGTCCATACCGTGAGATACCTACATACCCACCGTAGCATTAAAAGTTTCCTACCTAACTTCCACCTTCCGCTTCCGCCTCAACACCCAACCTTTCGCCCTTCCTGCCCAGGAGAAATTGGAAAGATGCACTTTTCACCAAAATCCGTCAACACTGCCACATTTCCATCGCCCGACCGCCCTCACTCTATACGTCCGTCGTCGACGCTCACCGATCAAATCCCTGTGTAATCCATGATACCCTGCGACCGGTAAATTACTCCTCGAGGTGAGCGCGTCAATCGCGCGAATTGCTGGTTTCGCTCTCTTCTTTCGTCGTTGACAGATGACCGCCTGCCATACCAAACCTGCGTGTGTAACCAGGGGCAGTGCCGGACTCCCTAGACAGGGAGCATGGACTCAGCCTCACCCAGACTTCTGCCTTCCTCGATGCCGTCTACCCATCGAACTGATTCGGCAGTGAGCAGTAACATGGGTACAAGTTGCGGCTCTGCGTCGCGGCTCTGCGTCCCCACGAAGCAGCCTCATGCTGGCAGGGACTGAATAGAGGTGCAGTATCTGAGGATTTGAGGAGATATTGACCGAAACAGAACATACTGGATCCAAGACTTACTGGTCGCAACAAATGGAATCCGATGTATTGGAATCACTTCGTCCGCCTCGTTAGAGTCATGCCAGCTGCCTGCGCGGCATGAATCAAAAGAGACACACATGCCCCCACACAGCCATAGAGGACTTCGGTGTCCTCTGTCACATCGTCGTCGAACCAGGTGGACATGGAAGATGTTGGCTGCGCCCTCGAATCTGGAGCCTCTTATGTCATGCTGGACTGGACTGTGACGAGAAAAAAAGGATCAAGTGACCCTAACCAACGTTGAATCCGACAATCCTCCTCGAATGAATGGCGAGGGCGTGGGACCCACGGCAATGGTACTCGTTAGGCGTTGAAGTTGGGGAAGCAGGTGCAAGGAGCTCTGGCGAGGATGTATGTCCTCCAACGGCAACTATATGGAAAATCCCCACGACGTTAGCTCAGCAACTCCCGTCCAACAACGTCCGTCAAACTTAGTCCTTCTCGCACGTTGTATGCTATTAATAAGAATGGTGCTTGATAAAAGATTGAGACCATGAAGACAACAAGGTAAAGAACGATGAGTTCCATCATACAAAGGACTAAGCAATCGAGCAGAAAGAAAAAAAGAAGAAAAAAA